ACTTCTTGAATGATGATGTGCTTCTGATGAACTTCTTGAATGATGATGCACGTCCGGATGAATTTCTTAAATGATGATGCGCTTCGGACGAACTTCTTGAATGGTAATGCACTACCCCCACAAAGTCGATGATTTCTTAGTCTCTGTTAACCTGAATTGTTTAATGCCTGAATAAACAACAACACACGTTTAGACGACATTTTCCCTGAGATCGGGGGTTGCCGTTTGGCTACCTATGATGAAACCGAAATACCCCTCGACGCCATCCACATCTGTCACTCGCCTCAGTATCACGCAACCCCGCTTTCACCCTGTCCTTCTCCACCTGCTCTCTCCATCCCAATCGCGGACGACCCCTTCCTACCACTCCTTCAACCTCGAACTCCAACGCTCGCCTAATCCCGACCCTTTCATCTCTTCTCAACACATGTCCATACCACCGCAATCTCAATCTACTTATCAATGTCACACTGTCCTCATTCAGTCCCATCATCGACATCAGCTCTGTACTACTCCTCCTATCATTCACTTTAACCCCACACATCATCCTCACCATAGCTCTTTCAGCCCTCTGCAGTACACTTTCCTCCTCTCTCCTCAACACCCAAGTTTCACCACCATATACCATCGCTGCTCTCACACATGCTTTATATACCCTCCCTTTCATCTTCACTGACCATTTCTTTCCACACAATACCCCACCCAGTTCCCTAAATTTTATCCATCCTACACGAACTCTAGCCGTAACTGCGCTCAAACATCCTCCATCCGCGTTCAGCTTATCCCCTAAGTAAACAAAGCTTTCCACTCTTTCAATACCACCACTCAACCCCGTCCTTGCGTCCATCCGATTAATCACACCATGAACACATTTCTTACATTTGAACGTGCCTTCCACCTTTTTCAGTGCCCCCCTCACACCACTACATCTCTTATGCACCCATTTCTGACATCCTATACACAATACCGAGTTAGCCTTCACTCTCCTGTCACATACCCCACAGGGGTCTATTTTACTTATCACTCGCTCCCCACATTCCCCACTCACCATTACCTTCGTCTTACCAATATTAACTTTTAACCCTTTCTTTTCAATAACACTTTTCCATCTGTCAAATTTTAACTGCAATTCTTCCATGCTATCAGCCATCAAGACTAAATCATTTGCATACAAAATTTCAAATAACAACCCCTCCATTATGTTTCCACACACAACATCCATCACAATTGCAAACAGAAACGGTGATAACACTGATCCTTGATGCACTCCTACCTTAACACTAAAAGCGTCCGACATCCCCTTTCCAACCCTCACCTTTTTCTTTGCCCCTTCATACAGCTGCATCACAGCTTTAACAAGTCTCTCATTCACTCCTTTCTTCCTCAACGCCCATTTAATGACCTTCCTCGGTACTCGATCAAAAGCCTTTTCTAGATCCACAAAACACATGTACAATCTTCGTTTCTTCTTTCTATAATTCTCCTGCAACATTCTCATCATGAACAACGCATCCACCGTTCCCCTACCAGGCACAAACCCACACTGCATTTCATTAACTGTCACCATATTTCTCAACCTCCTCTCAAGCACCCTCTCCACTACCTTCATTCCGTGCTCTAGCAATTTCACATCCCTATATGACCCACAATCTCTCACATCTTCTTTGCCCTTATACAACGGCACCAACACACTGTGTCGCCAATCCTCAGGTATACCTTCATCATCAAACATACTGTTAGCAATTCTTATCATAACTTCAATTCCTATCACCCCACTAGCTTTTATATGTTCTGCCGCCACTTCTGAAACCCCTGTCACCTTACCTAGTTTCATTTCTCTAACTGCTTTCTCCACTTCCTCTATCGTCACCTTCTCTATAGGTCCGTGTGTAACCGCGGATTCCACATCTCCATCCCACTCATTTTCTTCATTCATCAACCTTTCCATATGAGCTTTCCACACCTGAGCTTTTTCCTCCTCATCTATGCACAACTTGCCAAGATCCATCCCAAACACATCCATTCCCTATAACATCTTTCCTATCCCTCATTGACTGCTTTGCTACTTTGTTTAATGCCTGAATAACTCAATGAAAAAATGCCAGAATGGATGTGTGTCCTTGTGGTGGAGCTGACAGAGTCTGAGAGAGTATATATAGTCTTTGCCTTCTTCACTTTTTCATACATCCGGCTATGACGTACAATCTGTTTCGGACGGTATCAAAACGTTCATCGGCGACAAAATGCGGCAATAAATGGCGCTTCTTATGTTAGTTCATCATTTTCATACATGACAATGTCTCTGCTTGTTATACATACTGTAACAAATCGTTTAAAAGTATGTTAGAGTGAACAAAAGTTTAAGCTATTTGCATCATCTATGCGCCTGTCTTTGTTCTGAACTGTACTGAAGTTTAAGCGTGCTCGATCACTATTGGTTGTTGACCATCATCAGATTTCGCAGAGTCTGTGAAAGCATGTCACGATATGAATATTTAAACTGTTCAGCAACATCGTTTGCGCATAATGTATGCACCCATCTTTGTTCACCATCTATAACTGAGCCGAAGTTTAACCGTGCTTGGTTACTGTTGGACATTGACCATCGTCAGACTCTGCAGCTTACAAAAGTATGTTACAGAATGAATGTTTAAATTGTTCAGTAGCATTATATGCGCATAACGTACGCGCCTGTCTTTGTTCTCCAACTATAACTGAGTCACAGTTCAATTTCAACGTGTCCAGTTTCTCTCGAAGTTATTATTAGTAGTATTATTCTGATTATAATTATTGTAAAAATTAAACTATTACGTCTCTATTTTATAACAACAACGCACAACATTCGGCTTTTCTTGAGTTTCAACAAGCAAGCCTATATTTCAAATGTCTCAAAACGACAGCTGAGCTCATCTGAATGTGGTTGAAAGCATTTTGAGATTTTAACTTTTTAGATTTAATATTAAACAATAAAATTGTTCAAAATATTTTGCACACTTAAAATGATTACAAGTCTTAACTTTCTAATTAAAAATGCTATGCGATCCAAAGCTCTGCACACTCATTGCTTAAAGTTTTATGCAAATCATAAATGCAGGAAATATACTCAGTCTTGCATGCACAACGTTATTGAATAGATTAATTTGAGCTTTTAATTATAAAAAACGATCAAATGAACGTCGAGTATTGGTTGTTTGCTTGGTTGTTAATTGATCGTTCAAACGATTGATTGAATGGTCAGTTGAATTCATATCGATCGATTGATTGATTGTTGAACAGATCCATCAAATATTTTTTTGCTCAATTTTTCATTTTGTTTTCAAGAACTTGATTTAAAATTTTCCTTTATTTTTATATGTGCTAAAAGTAATTTTATTCACCGACTGAAACCGTTGTTATTTACTATCATACATTGCAGGCTTTAGGTTTAAAATCTGAAAAAGCATTGTTTGCTTTTTGGAGAAATATATTTTTTTAGTAATTAATAAAAAAGACATTGGTTTTGGTTAATTTAAGATATAATTATTATTAACAATATGTTACAATTAATCTGGCATGCCGATATATTTTTGTGTCAGGTGTAATAAAATATGAGATTTTTGTGTCACGTGTAATAATAAAATATGAGTTAGTTAAAAATCAGGCTTTAAAAAGCGAAAGGTAAATGACTAAATGATTTTATTTTAACAATATTTACATTTTTCAGAGAAATGAAATGCAGGGAAATATGCAATTCGTACCACATAATATAAAGTTTGATCGATAAAGCTGATGAACATTATCGGAAAAACCCAATGATGCTTTATCAAATATTGATTGCATGTTAGACTATATAAAAGTTTGGTTCTGTTGTTATTTAATCTCTAGAAAAACAATTTTTTTTAAGAAGTTTGCCCTTGATGGTTTTTGTTAATGTATCATTATTAAAATGTACCAGTACCAGTTTTTATGAATATATGTTTTGTAATTTCGAACGTTTGTAACTGTGTGAAAGTCCATAGTGTTAATTAATTTCTTAAACTATATTGCCCGCAATTTTTTTTAATTGAGTATTAATTTTTTAAGGATGTTTTGAGTTTGGTTAATGATTATTTTGTTTATACTTCGTCAAAGTATTGAAAGTAATTGTGAATTTATTTCTTTTTTTCTTATGCGCATGTGAACACTTCCAAGGCATAACCAAAGTGATTGACCATTTCTATATCATTACTTGCAATTTTTGAACGTTAAAACATTTGACATACAATTTTAATTTAACAGCCACGTTTTCTGTTTTAATATAATTTTTTTTAATCCGAGTTTTTTACTTTCTTCTGCCAAGTCCTTCGATTCATCGAGCGAATTCAAGTGTCATTTTTATATAAATATCAATTTTGAAACCGGTGTTGAAGTAAACGTTGTAATGCTATTCTAATGATAAATAGCGATAACATAATATATATATATATGTATATATACTATACATATATATATATATATTATTTTTATTTAGAGTCATTTGTTGATGCATCTGAATGCTGCTCGTGTGGCAGTGTAGATAATTATAATCGACGTTGATTACGTTTGTTGTTTTCGATATAAAATTTACGATTTTTATCCGTTAAAATCGTAAAATTAGATTAATGTTTTGTTTTATTGGTTTTTTTTGTAAATTATAAGTTTGAAACAATAATTTTTAGTTTGAAGTTCACGTTTACGTCGTGACTTTCACCTTGTTACCAAAGATTAACTTTAATCATTGACAATGTCTAAAGCGCATTATATTAATGTATGAAGGATTCAGTTAATTTTTATAAAGCTTCTTTTCATCATAAATGTCTGGATCATTCTAAAGAAACGATACGCGACCATAGTCAGCAACAAAGAGAAAATACCTCTGCAATGGTTGTCTGAAGTTTTCAGAAAATATTAAGTCGTTTTGCAAACTTATTAAAATGCAGTTGGGCTGTACTATTTAGTTTAAACATAACAGGGAAAATAGCAAAGAAATAAAAAATGAACTGATGCAATTTAGGACTTTTATGGATCAAGATCGGGAACAACTGATCGTTCCTGATGTTAGAAACGTGCTTCAAGAGTCTATAGAAAATTTAAAATGCGAACTCGACATGTCATGGTTGGGTATCGTCAAAAAGAACATTGAAATTGTGGCTAATGAGGTCAAGACGGTTAAACATACGTTAGATGTAACCAAAGCAATGAAGAAAGTTAGCACAACATTGTTTTGTTTAATTTAAAATAATCTCAAAACGTGTCCAATGACAGAAATTTTTTTTTTCTATTCTGAGATCAATTGTTGCTGATAACTACAACAGCAGCGATGTTTTGAGCATTATTAGACAGGGCTGAAAAAAAGACAAAGTTTCACGACCTGTTATTGTGAAATTCAGCAATTTGTCCTTTTAATTGTTAATACTGAAAACGTCATATAAAATCAAGATGCTTGAAGGGACTTGAACAAGATAACCTAACTCCAGAACAGCGTGGAGAACTCAAATCATTAGTTACAGAGACAAAGACTAAAGGGGCTGATAAAGATAATTTTTTATTCAAAGTTAGAGGTCCCATAGGCCGTCGGAGAATTGTCGAATTCCCCAAAAAGGTTCCTCCATTAAATTAGACTTGTATAACATCAGGTCTACTGTTTTGAAACTTGATGTTGTTAACAATTTTTTGTTAGAGACTTTGGATTTTTTGGGAGTCATGTACGATTCTTTAAATAATACTGTGATACGCTTAGCTATGCCACCTAAATATGTTTATGTTGATTTATTTAAGACCGAGTGACCCCTACCATGGTGGTATAAGTTTTTTTCAAAAGCCTTTTTAAATTTTGTAAAATTGAACTTCCTACTATTCAGTCATCTAAGTAATTGTCATTTATTTTTCATAGAATAAAATTAAATTGATTTTGTTGTCCATTTATTGCCCGGGTTCTTTACCAGTTTCACTTTTGTTTTTTAGCAAGTTTACGATGGTCATGGAGCACATTTCTGATTGTGCGGATTTATTGTTGATACTAGGAGATTTTAATATCCATATTGAAAAGCTGAATAACAAAAACGCCATGCTTTGTTGGATGTTTTTAAAGCATTTCAAGTTTGTAATCGAGTTAGTCGAATCATATTTTTGATGGTACACCTGTTCTGATCCACAAATTAAAAAACGTTTGGTTCGGTCATGGAACCGAATGGATGGTAAATTATTTTTTCATCTTGTCTTCCAATCATGGTCCGTTCACTGATGTTGTTTTTTATTTGTTCGTTAAGGATTTGTAATCAATATCATAGCCTCTTGCACTTTGTTGATTCCAACAGTTCACATATCGCCCTCCGGTTTGACAAAAAATGCACAGATATAAATAGACTCTGTTGTAAACTAGAGACAATATGTCGACACAGTACTAAAGAAGCTGAAAAATTGCTTGGAAGAAGGCTTTTTTGTGCAAAAGTTCTTTTTTCGTTAACATTGGAAATCTGTTTCACACTGTTATGGGAGTCTGTCAACAAACTTTTTGGAAAACATTTAGCTGATAATTCTTTATGTAGTTTACAAACTTCACGTCGTCACAATTTTCATTGTTCTTTAAAGACAAAATAGAAAAGGTAAGAGGTAACATATTAGTTCTGCTACTAATTCTATATTTTCCCATTGTGAATCAAGTCTTTCAAGTTTTCTCAATGCTCATATTATGATGATGTTAAAGAAATTGTTCTTTGCTTACAAAACCGTTTTCACAATTAATTGTTCCAACAAGAACTTTTAAGCTGTATGTTGACTTATTCATCCAGTTTCTGACATTTTTTCTTTATGCAGGGGTGCACTCTTTATGCCGGGGTGCACTAGCTATGAGGCGCGTCCCCAGGTGGTGAATAGGGAAAAGTCCTGGGCGATCTTCTAGAATTGCATTGAATAATACGGAATAAGATGCCGCGAACTAACTGTACCAGAAGAAAGAAGACAACGATGAAAGAGGCGGAGGATCTAAATCCACTGCCTTGTGAAACAGGGACCTTTGACCCAAAGGCTAGGTGCACTGCTTACAACAGTGCTCTCTTGAGCACGAGATAAACTGCAACCGCGCTGCCTTGTGTGCTTCCAGCAAAAAGGCTAGGCCCACTGCTTATAACTGGTGGTTGTCGTTAGGAATTGGGCAATTCCAGATATATAAATTTTTTTTACCCAAACATCTTCCAAGTCATCACAAAAAAAAGATCTCTTATTCCCTGAAGACCTCAAATGGTCAAGAGGTGACAATATCCAGGAAGTACGCAAAAGTGGAGGGATGTTGCGGAAAATCGGGCGTACACACACAGACGACTATTCAGGAATACAAAAGTCATTCCAGGCGAAGCATGCATCCTTCAACATCGATTGCTGGTGGCCGATATGATCATGGAAAAATCACGCTCTGTGACTTATCGAATCATCGCGATTTTTTACAGATGTTTTTTTTAATTATTTTTTTATTTCATTTATTTTCGAAACGTTAGCATTTTATTGTTTGAAATTATTAAGAACACAAATTCAACTTTTTTTGTACGTTAAAACAAGAATGACTCAAAAAATTTGGAAAGAATTGGTAAAAAAAAACAGGGTTGAAGATTTTTGTCGCAGTCGGAATTTTTGAGGAATTGCTATCCGACTCAGACACCCCATTTTTATTTCCGCTCATCTCTTATTTAAAGTTCAGTAAAAAAACATTGTTAAAAGAATAAACAAAACCAGTTTTATGATACAGAATATTGTCAGAATTATGAAATAATACTGACTAAAAATACTTCAAAGTCCTTCAACGCAAAATTAATTCACTCGATAGGCGGCTTGATGCAAAGTTATTCACTTGATAGGGGGCCTGGTGCAAGTTGATTTACTCGATAGGTGACAAGACGATTTTTTTTGTTTGTTTTGCAATTAAGATCACGTCGTAAATTATTACAAATTATTTTAAAATTTAATTAATTGTTTTTTTGATTAATTGGACATACCTTGGAAATTGTTATGTTTAAAAACACTCGAAACAAAATCTAATTTTGCTTTGATATAGAGTTTCCTTATCTTAAGTTCTCGAAAAAAGTCCGCCTTGGGTTCACCAGTTAGGCAGCTTCGAATAATCGGTGCCTATTCTGGTATCTAAGAGACTTAATTCGTGATTCTATGCTCATTGGCATAGTTTCAGAAACGTCTTAAGTTCTCAAAAGTGGATTTGGTACGAGACTCTATGCTCATTGGCATAGTTTCGCACGCGTACTAAAGTTACACAATTTGTTTCCAGTGTTGTTCTGACTCTTGTTGTTTTGTGTTGGTTGTGCGAAAGCCAACCAGACTCGTCGGCCCAGTGAAAACAGGCCAAGGTTGTTCGAAAGCCGACCGACTGACTGACAGGCCCAGTGAAAACAGGCCCTTGGTTGTGCGAAAGCCGACCAGACTCGACGGTCCAGTGAAAACAGGCAGGGTTGTGCGAAAGCCGACCGACCGACTGACTGACAGGCCCAGTGAAAACAGGCCTTGGATTCTGTGAAAACGAATCCGCCTCGTTGTTTTGTTTTTGTTGTGCTATTTGTGGACCTACGGTTCTTTGCTGGATTCTATACTCATTGGTATAGTTTCGCACGCAGCTTGGAATTTCCATAGGCTCCGATTTTTGTAATTTTTCTGCATTCATTTTATTTATTTCTCGGAGTTGTATTGACACCACCATCGGTCACACACGTCGAGGTTGTACGATTAAACGGCAAGAAACATATCTCAAGTCGAAGACCCAACAAGAAGAAGTTCTAATTCCTGTATTCCAGTTTGTTCATTGACATTATTTTTTTTACATTATTCTAGAGTTCATTTAGTTCAATTCTTTTTCATTTACTTCCGTCGATTAATAAAATTGTTATCGAATATTTTTACGCGTTCGTGTGTTACTCAGTAAAATCATATAATTCGAAAAAGCCCAGTGCCACACAGGACTAGTCGAAATCACGATAAAAATATACAAAAAATTATTGTCGGACCATAAAAAAAAATTCCCTGAGAAAGATAGAGGAAGAGATTACCTCACCACCAGTTGCAAATATCCGACAATATAGTTGGTGTCACAGGAATGAAGAATAATGAAGGCATCATAATAACCTTGCAGAATGATTTGAAGGATCACTGGAAGAATTACTTCGATCAGTTATTGAATGAAACAAACCCTATTGGGGTGGACATTGATGCACTTCAGGGCATCACAGCTGAATAGCTTACGGATGCGTTGAAGGTAAATGAAGGTGTGAAGGTGGGTAAAGCAGCTGGTCCGTCTGGACTTACAAATGATATCATCAAGGCATCTGATGGGGCAGGCTTCAGAGCCCTCTTAGACATCTCAAGTCGGGAAATGTGGAGTAAATCGATACTACCAGTGGAATGGAACAGTAGCACAACTGTGCCGATATATAAAGAAAAAGGAGATTCACTGAAATGCTCCTAGTATCGGGGTATACGTCTTCTGGAACATCCCCTAAAAATTATTGAAAAAGTCATTGAGAGAAGACTGTTGTCGTGCGTTTCAATAGGTGGTTACCAGTACGGCTTCATGGCAGGAAGTTCCACCATAGATTCTATCTATATCATTCTTCAACTACAGGAAAAACACATGGGAAAGCAAAAGCGACTATTTCATGTCTTTGTGGACTTGAAAAAGGCTTTTGACAGAGTGCTTCGTGAGGCAATCAGGTGGAGTCTAAGTAGACAGTTTGCTCCCGAATATCTAGTTTGGCTGGTTATGGCAACGTACTCTAACACAAAACTCTGGTCAGCACAACAGCCGGTAACACGAATGAATTTGATATTAACGTTGGCGTCCATCAGAGATCAATACTTGGCCCCCTGCTCTTCATCACGGTGAAGGAAGAAATAACCAAACCGATACGCTCAGATAACATATAGAATGTAATATATGCAAATGATATCGTCCTGATGGCGGCCTCGGAACAAGACGCGTCCAGAAAGTTTGAGGTCTGAAATACCCAGCTTGCCAAACACCGGCTAAAGGTAAACCTTGACAAAACAAAAACTATGATCACTGGTGGTACCGCTGAGCCTGTGGTCTCTGGTCATTGGCCATGCTTGGTGTGTGGGGGGCTGGAGTTGGAAGCAACTCGATCAAATGCCTACGATGTCAGCAGTGGTGTCACAGACGATGCTCGAAAATTACCGACTCACTGAGGAAAATAATTGCCCCGTATTTCCCGCCCGCATCAACCCGTGACAACGGAGCCAAGATAATGATACGATTACCGGAATCGAAACTGTTACTTCATTTCAGTATTTGGGTGATATGCTGGATTGTACTGGAACAGCTGATGCCGCCGTTCGTGGACGTACACTTTCTTGCCTCGGTATAATTCCGTTGTTAATATTGTTATAACCGTGCTACCGAACGCACTACAACATTCTAGAATATGCTAGAATCGGACCATCTAGAAGAATCTAGAAACGACGCTTGCGAAGAGTATATAAGCGCACGTCGCAAGAAGATTAGCGATTAGTGAAATTCGTGATTTTGTAAATTCGTGACTCTGTAATTTTGTGAATAGCGATTTGGTGAATTATTTAAAGCGATATTTGATTTGTTTGTTGACGTTGCCATAGCGATAGATTTTGAACAATTTAAAACAGATCAAAGAACAGTCCGAACGACAGTCCGAACGACAGACAGAAGAGTTAAAACAACAGATCAAGGAACAGTCCGAACGACAGACAGAGGAGTTAAAACAGATCAAGGACCAGCTAAAACACGTAAAATTGGAAGTGACAGAACAGATTGAAGAACAGTCAACAACAATAGAAATGATCGAGCAGAAACTTGATCGTCAGACCGTTGAGGTAGATCACAAGATAGACAAATTGAAGCGAGAATTGGAGCAATCCAAAAAAATGGCCATGCCGTTAGATCACGCATCCGGAAGAACTTTGAAGGTACCAGCATTTGACGGAGAGATGTCCTGGAACGTTTATAAAACCCAATTCGAAGCAGCGGCCACTAGTAACTGTTGGAACGGAAAAGAACGAGCAACAGCACTGATACTGGCCCTGCGAGGTTCAGTAGCAGAGGTTCTTCAGACGATTCCAGCGAAGAACCACTTCAACTATGAAGTTCTGGTTAGCGCGTTGGATTTACGTTATGGTGAAGAACACATGAAACAGATTTATCGGTTTCAGCTTAGAAACAGAACGCAACGATTTGGTGAATCCATTCAGCAGCTGGCACAAGATATCAAACGGTTGACATTGCTGTCGCATCCGACATCAGACCCCGAGCATAGAGACGAAACTGCCCTGGATACGTTTATCAAAGCCCTTCGTGATTCGGAACTCAAGCAATCCCTTCTCTTGTCAGATAAACGAAAACTCAAGGATGCCGTTGTGCACAGTCTCACTTTTGAATCGGCAAAGCAAGCATCAAAAAGTGACGTACGTCTACGCCAAGTACATGAAGAATGCTCTTGCCAGAAGGTGGTTGTGAAACGCGAACCCCAACAGCATGGTGTACCCCAATGCTGGATTTGTGGTGAAAAAGGCCATCTACGTCGGGGTTGTAAACACCGCCTAAAAGATAACCACTGCCGAAATTGCGCGACAAGATGGCGCAAAAGAAGAGAAGATGATCCTGTATCACGATCGGCCCCTTCGTTAGAAGGGGCGGAAAACTAATAAGAGCCAACTTTGTGGGGCAGAGGTTGGCTAGTAGAATTGACGCCCCCAGTACCGTAATTAACGTTTCCAGACTACATCGAAATCGAAACGACCTATGGCTGAACGGAAAAGGTGATCAACGAGAATGCGTAATTACAGTCAACACCGGAGCAACAAAATCGATTTTAAGATCTGATTTGGTACACAATCTGAAGAAAGAGACTTCTAACAAATACATCCTTCGAACAGCTACCGGAGGAACAGCACCAGTCTATAGAAAGATTCTCCGTACTGTTCAGCTAGGCGACTTGTTATTCTAAGGTTCATCCTTAGTCGCGGATATCATCGACGAATGCATAATAGGTGTCGACTTTCTGACAAAATATGGGTTCAAAATTGACTTAGAAAAACGCATTCTTAGATGGAGAAATACAGAAGTGATAATGGGGGATAGCGACGAAAAATGCATTCGAGTGATAGTCGATTGTGACATAGAACTACCTCAATCATCTGAAAACATCGTATGGGGAAAATTGAATTGCGATCCTGGGGGCCACCAGTTCTATTTGATGGAGCCAACCTCAACGACAAATGCACAGAACGCGGTCATTGGAAAATGCCTGGTAGAAGCGAACAAAAATGATCTTATTCCTGTCAGAATAATGAATACCGCTAAACACACTATTAAAATTAAAAAAGGCGAGGAAATAGGTAATTGCTAATCAATAAATTTGGTGAAATCATTAGATATGGAGCAACAGGAAAAGGTTCTACCAACTGACAAAGGTAGACTCAAAGAACTTACCAAAAATCTACTGGATGAACTCAATTTGTATCAAGAAGACCGTCTAAAAGCCGAGGCGTTGATTGCTGATTTTGCAGACGTGTTTTCAACCGGTGACAATGACCAAGGTAAAACAGCTCTGGTAACTCACCGAATTGATACTCAGGATTCGAAACCGATCCGACAAGTACCACGACGTCTTCCTCTAGCAAAACAAACAGAAGTAAACGAAATGATAACGACAATGCAGAATCAAGGCGTCATCGAACCGTCATCAAGTCCCTGGATTTCGCCAGTTGGCTCCTCAACTTCAAGGATCTTGAAGATGGCTCCTCAACTTCAAGGATCTTGAAGGACAGATGGCCCGATGGTTGGAGCGTTTACAAATGTACGACTTCGAGATCGTGCACCGCAAAGGAACAACTCATAGTAATGCTGATGCTGTCTCACGTCGACCATGTTTACCAGGATGCAAATATTGCTGTCGTCACGAAGAGAAGATACAATCGGAAGACATAAGAGCAACAACAATATCAGCGGATGACGGTTGGACACCGACAGATCTTGCTGATGCACAGTTTGCGGATGAGGACCTACAACATCTGATCACATGGAAAAAGGAGGGCAAGTGACCGGATTGGCAAATCATCTCAGAATATAGTGCCGTGTTAAAGGGTTATTTGGCTCAGTGGGACTCTTTGTATTTGGAAGGGGATTTGCTGAAACGAAAATGGGAATCAGCTGATGGATCAAAACACCGCATGCAAGGTGTTATACCAAGAAGTAGAACGACCGAAATCCTTGATGAAATGCATGGCGGCCCTTCTGGGGGACATTTAGGAGTGAACAAGACCCTTGAAAAAATACGAGAAGGATTCTACTGGCTTCACGTTAGAGAAGATGTAGAGAGCTGGTGTCGAAAATGTAACACATGCGCTTCAGTCAAAGGACCCAAAAGAAGGCTAAAAGGAGCAATGCAAATCTACAATGTTGGTGTCCCCTTTGAACAGATTGCTATAGATATTGCTGGACCCGTTCCGGTATCAGATTATGGAAACCGTTACATTCTGGTTGTAGCGGACTATTTCAGCAAATGGCCTGAGGTGTTTCCAATACTCAACCAAGAAGCATGTACCGTCGCTGAGGAAATTGTACTCAATTGGATTAGTCGATATGGTGTCCCATTGGAACTCCACTCAGATCAAGGTCGAAATTTTGAGTCACAACTGTTTGGTGAAATGTGCAAGCTGCTGGGTATAAACAAAACTCGAACGACACCTCTTCACCCACAGTCTGACGGTATGGTGGAACGATTTAACCAAACCCTGATTGAACATCTGGCTAAAGTAGTCGACGAAAATCAACGGGATTGAGATCGTCATATACCATTGTTTCTTATGGCATACCGGAGTGCTATCCACACAACTACTGAAGAAACGCTATCAAAAGTTCTGTTTGGGACTACCTTAAGATCTCCAGCTGATGTGAAATATGGCGTATCACCTGAACCACACCAACCATTAACAGAATACGTGGATAATCTTCGACAGCGATTAAACCATATCCACCGTTACGTACGCCTTAAAATTATGAAAAACACGGAGGCGGCCAAAACCAGATACGACTTGAAAGGAAGCAGTGGCGGTTTTGCTGTCGACGAGTTAGTTTGGCTGTACAACCCACAGCGAAAGAAAGGACGTTCTCCAAAGCTCCAGCGAGAGTGGGAAGGACCTTATCAAGTCATCACCCGCTTGAATGACGTCGTCTACCGTATTCAGGAATATCGGAAGCCGAGAGCAAGAATGAAGATCGTTCATTTGGATAGACTGGCTCCGTGCCATGCGGACACCGGAACGAAAGCTGTTCGGGACGAACAGAACTAAGAAGGGGGTAATGTTATAACCGTGCTACCGAACGCATTAGATTCTAGCGTATTCTAGAATGTTCTAGTGACTGGAGCATTCTAGAGTATGCTAGAATCGGACCATCTAGAAGAATCTAGAAACGACGCTTGCGAAGAGTATATAAGCGCACGTCGCAAGAAGATTAGCGATTAGTGAAATCCGTGATTAGTGAAATTCGTGATAGGTTACTTTAGTGTATAGTCATCAATATTTTTAACTGTATTTTAAATTATTACACTGATGTTGCCGAAAACAGCTTTTTTGTTGCATTTAACCTATTTTAATTTTATTAGTTCATATTTAATTTATTTCAATAATTTAATTTTTATTTAAATATGTTATTTTTAAATTATTAGCAATAAAATGATTATTATAAAACATTTTGTTAATTTAATTAATAAACTAAATACAATTTATTATTATAAAAATAGAGAAATTAAAATTAATAATTTGTCCAACATATGTTAGTTTTCAGATATTTAAAAAGCGAGAGACATTCAAGTAATTTGTCCTTTTTTGTGTTCCCGCGCATTTGTAATTTGTCGTTGTTATCCAATTTTAAGTTTTCAATGTCGCTTTTCAACAATTTAGTAGCAGTAATGATATCCTCGTTTGTGTAAAAGTCAGATATATTGTTTATAAAAGTTTCATTATCAATTAATTCGACATTATTGTTTACGAAATAGAGCAACTCGTTAATCACAACAACACGTGCCGCCATCTTGCCAACATGGAATAAGAGGAAAAGTAAGTGCATGGTTCAAAAGTTATTTAGAGAACAGAGACCAGTATGTGGCAATAAAAAGTCACTCCTCAACAAAACTTAACGTAAGATCAGGCGTGCCACAAGGATCAATTTTAGGTCCTCTTCTATTCATAATCTTCATGAACGATTTTCAACATGCAACTGATGCAAATCACCTTCTATATGCAGATGACACTAACATCTTCTTCCCAACTAAAGACCCATTGAAAGAAGTAGAATACATCAATAACAGTCTTCAAAATATATCAACCTGGTTTATCAAAAATAAATTAATAGTAAATTATTCTAAATGTAATTACATTATTTTTGGTCCGAAAATTTTAACAAATATTATACCTAACCTAGACATAAAAATGAACAATATTTCTATTCCTCGCTCAACCAGCACAAAATTCCTTGGAGTAATACATACATACATACATACATACATACATACATACATACATACATACATACATACATACGTACATACATACATACATACATACATACATACATACATACATACATACATACATACATACATATACATACAGATACATACAGATACATACATAAGTAGTTAAGTACACATGACATGACATTGAGATTAAACTATTAGAGAATCTTAATTTTTAACTTGTCAAAATAATATTAAAAACAATAATACATTTTTAATTAGAAAATATTTGCTTAGTATTTGATTTGACAGACACAGATTCTAAACCAAATCAAAATGCCTGTGTGTTCCATTACAAAATGCAACTCATCTTATTTAGATGAAAATGTTACATTACAGACACAGGTTAATTTAATTTAGGCTATACTCAGCAAACAATTATATATAATAATATAATATAATTAAATAGTAATAAATAATATTAGTAACATTATAAATGCATTAAATGGTAATGTCAACTAAAAATTGTATAAATAATTTGTGCTGATATTAATTAAGTTAAATTTAAATTCAGACTGCCAAAGAATGATATTAAGAGAATGCAATGGGAAAACCTCATTAAAAAATACATTGACAATTACGATGAAAAAAAGAAAGATTTTAATTTGTAGCAAACATTTTACACCAGAAAGTTTTCATAAAGTTGGTTTGAAATTTTTCTTCAAAAAAATACTTTTCCAACGATATTTGACAAGGTTAATGTTACGTATATAAAAACCAATCATTTCAAGTTTCAGTTGTATAATTTAAATGTTTTTAAAGTTATAATTTTGAAATTAAGATATTGTTGTCAGGATAATTTTTCTGAAGTGTTCTTTATTTATGTTATGATTTATTATATACCAAATATAAACTTATTTTAATTTTTCAAATTTGTAACCAATAATCTGGTTCTATCATAGTTTAAACATTTTGTATTTTTAGCCTTCTTTAGATGATGTGATGTCAAGTGTAAATTTGGTTCGTATTTTTATATCTATATATTATCAAGATTGTGTTACATTTTAAGCCACCAAGTATTTCAAATTTCATTTTTCATTAAATATTTTTAAAAATTTGCTTTGCGTTAAGTTTAGTTATATTTATAGTATATTCATAAGAAGCATGTTTATGTTTTATGCATAACATAGAAACATAATTAAACATTTGTCTTGTCGTTCTGACCACTCCTTAAAGATATTAATTAGATGCCTTGCAAATAATAACATATATTCAAAAACGTCCAGTGTTAATAAAACTTTAATAATTTAACATTTCAGTTACCCTCAACACCATTGCGGCCAGTTGAAAAACCATCAACATCTGCTGTTAAATTGGTTGGTATGTTTGACAGGTTGTAACATAATATACGTATCAAATAAAATTTATTAAACTTTCTGCAACTCTCAAATACAAATAGTTATCTAAAGAAATTTTTATATGGCTTGCATTCATTGATGCTTCTATTTCAAAAAGCTGAATTGTCATTTAAAAAATTACTTTATGAAAATGTTTTTAAAAGGTTGGCCAATGAAGATTTATTAAATCTCAAAAAACATATAACAGATACACTTAATGGATTAAATAATCATTATTTTTGTTTACTTAGACTTATTGCGAAAACATATATAAATGTACGTTCATTTCATTTTGCAAAAACCACAAATCAAATAAAGATCCGTTCTAAATTTCATAAGTTAATACATTCCAAGGGACAATAAAATCATTTATCAATGAAAAGATTTATCAACCATTTGTAAATTTTGAATTGTTTGAATTACTTAGTAATTATATTTGTTTCATATATATATATATATATATATATATATATATATAGATATTAAACATTCTTTTGCTATCTATTGGTAAAATCTGTATTTTTTATTTGGTCATTATGTTTTCATAAAACCCGTCACTCTAACATCTTCATTATTTTATATTTCATTTATTTTTTTTATCTATGAAATTATGAATATTTGATCATTAATCTACATCATAATTTTACCGCAGCAATATATTAACTAATTTAAAGTCATCATTATATCAACTTTTTTCATTCCAGAATGTAAACTTATCAGTTTTAACCCTTTCCTTACATTATTTGTCAGTTTTAATAATTCATTTTTTTAATCTAATTTGATTGATTGATTTTTTCATACAAAATATAACTTTTTTTGAGATAAACTTTAGTAATGTTATATTAATTGGAAGTTTCAATGAAAAAAAGATATCATTTCATTTCATTTTTTAATAAAATATTTTTAAACATTTGTGTCTCTTTGTTGTCAAATTAGTTGCCATTGACTTATGTAAATGATTTGCACTTGAATATAAAACTATCCTTATTTTAATCGCTAAAAGTAAAGTATTGAAAATACATTAAAAAAAATTTATTTAAATATTACTTATTTTATCACTGATTAAATGTAGAATTAACAGTTTGCTAAAAACAGTCCTTTTCATATCCATGGCATACAATATATAGGCTGTTACCCGTCAACTTAAAAAGACTGGAATAAACTATTACAATCTCACCTCTTAAAGTATACCTAAGTCAAAAATTACCAATTATTTTCTGGATAGATGTCTTGATATAGTTTGATCGGATTTTTCCGTTTCGGCTGTTTGACTTTGAGGATGGAAATAAATAATTATGAAAAAAAAAATAAAAATTAGGAAAAAAATATTAATGGCACTGGCACATTATGGCACCATCTTGGGAGCTGCAGTGTCGTTAAAATCTTCATTAAAAAAAAACAAGTCAAAAAAAAGTTTAACCATCGTACCATTTTGAAGCCTTAAATCACACTTTAAATAATGTGATTACATATAAGCAAGCACGATTGTAACGTGTATTTGTGTATAAATAAGATGATGTATTACTGCATAAAGCGGCAACGCGTAAAAATTTCACGGTCTTTTAAAATGTAGGTAATTCCATGGCCAAAATCTTATTTCAAGTGTGGAAAAAAAAATTTTCATGACCTTCCAGGATGTGTACACAGCTTGCAGACCCTTTCGTAAAACTAGTCATTTTTAAAACCTTTGGAGACTTAATGAAACCGCCAGGCGTCTTCAGGAAGGCACGTTAATTTCTCGGGGCTGCATTTTTGTGGTTAATGGTTGTTCGACAAAACATAAACAGGAATTAAATTAAGATAATTTAACTGTAAAAGACAAACATTTTGTTTTGCCATGTTGCAAGACCTTCAACGAAAATAATATTTGTATTGCTAATAGAAAAAGGCTAGCAAATACGTTGCTCCAATTGCCACCAGTATCTGAAACAATTTTTTAACAAATATGTTTATGTTTTACATACTTCACCTAAAACTAAACTTATGTAAAATAAAAACAAGAGCCAAAAAAGAATTTATTCACATCATTAAAAATTTTGATTATGTTGATAGAGTAATATGTACAAAAATATAAACTGTAGCATTAACATGCCTGTTATCAATTTAATACATAATTTTCTGACCGAAACATTTGACATAATTGTCCACAGCCAATATAATTTAAAAAGCCTACGTGCCTGTATTGTTGGTAAAATTATTAAATGAATTATCTAAAATCAAAATTTGTTGTGTTTCAGACTGAGCTTTATTATTACTATTAATGACATTACTATTGCTATTATTAATGTTATTGTTATACATTAAACCAGAATTAAAGCGATATCGGTAATCAGCGTTTGTAACAATTTTTGATTGAATAATGGAACCGTCGGGCGTCTTTAGGAAAACACGTTGTTGCTGTCTCGGTGCTGCATTTGTGGTTAACGGTTGTTGAACAAAGCATGAGTTAAATTTAGATAATTTAACTGTGAAGGGCGGAGACATTTTGTTTTGTTTGTCAAGCTGCATAGCTAATTTTTCTAAAATGGGAATTGTGTTGGATGCTGTAGTCGGGTTGGCTAATCTGTTTGTTTTTAACTGAAAATTTTGAAGTACTGTTGATGGAGCAAATGTGATTTGTTTAACTGGCGACTGTCTCTGAAGCATGATATTAATAGGTTTCGATGTTTGTTGTGTTACTGTCACACCAACAGATCCAGGTAGATTAATGTTTGCGTTGATTAACATGTTACCGTTATTAACTTTATCACATTTAATGTTGTTGTTTGCCAAGAGAATGAAACCAGAATTGGTGCTGGTAGTTTGTTTTGGCGCATTGGGTACTAGAATAATGTTTGTCTTAGAATTAGTGGTCGGTATAAAAAAATTCTGACCAGGAGTTGAAGGATTTTTTAAAATATAGTAATTGGTAGCTGCTGGTGTTTGAACAGTTTTTGGAACACTTGTAGAATTTTTCTCAATAAGAAACTGAAGCACATCATTCGAAGAAGAAGAAGGCATGAACACTGATCGAGCCACTATATGATTGGTTGACTTAGGCACAACATTATTAGTTTTCAAATACGCTGGTGATGTTAACGTTGCCAGCGGCATTTTTGATGGAACATTGTTTTGGAGTTTTTCAAGAATTGGCGTTAACTTATTTTCAGCAATTTTGTTAACAGGTATTGCACTTGGAAGATGTCTTGAATTGATTACTGTTTGCGACTGTACCAGATTTGGTCGTGCAAATCTATGAACTAGTATTCTTTGATTGTTAGGAAGAATAAAGCGCTTGTTTGATAATAATCCATAGTTAACAGATTGATTGTTTTCTCTTTCTAGGGCTTTTGGTGCAACGTTATTCAAAATATTTATGCTATTGGCCGTATTGTTAATTTGTGTTATGTGTTTTAGAATATCCTCTTTTATATCAAGCTTCGGTTGCTTGTTAGGTGGACATTGGTATTCATCGGGAAACATCGCGGGACAAGAGCGTTTTCCTTTGTTATCGCTTTCATTTTGCAGAGAGATTTGATTCAGCACGTCTCCGCCAATGTCATCGTAACTATTGTCGAGATGCTTCGCTTTATTCGCCTTTGATTTTACTACAGAGTTTTTGTTCTGTTTGGAATATTTAATTAGAGGTGAATTTTTCTTCCAATATTTTTTTACTTGAAGTTGTTTATCATCGAAAAGTTTGGCATTTGCCTTTGAACTTTGTCTGTTTTTTACATAAGTTGTATTATCTTTCTCATCATCGATGCAAATGTCTTCAGTTTCATCATCACAACTATTACTGCTAGAGTTAACGTTGCTGGCATCTTTTGCATTTGAAATTTGCTGCTCTTCTTTTCTAGCCAAAAAATGCATTTTTTTCATTTCCAAATATGGAATTTTACTCGATTTATTAAATTTAATTTTTTTGTGTTTAACAGAATGATCAACATTCGAAACGTAAAGAATCTCATCTTCTTCATCTTCTGCTTTCCTTTCCTCTTCTTCTTTGAGCGCCTTCAAATGATCAAGTTCCCACTTGTCCAATGAAAGAACTACATTACTCTGAATTTTGTGAAAACATTTAGTTTTTAATAACTTTTCTGATATATGTGTGTAATACGTTTATTTTGAACAAGTGCATGCCACTATAACTAGTTGGTTTTAAAAGAGCAGTATTGTGTTCGAATTTATAGAATGCTTTGTCATCTAAAGTAAAAATTTTTGAATAAATTAGAATGGTTTTCTTATAAATAACTTGAAATTCTTGTGAATGAGCCATGTGAAGTGAAACCATTTTCTTGAAGCAATGTCATAATTGATAATACACGAATTGTCTTAACTTCTATTGCACATTTTTTCATAATTTCTAAATAATTTTTTGCTGTGACTACATTAGACAGAGCAACAGTGTGAATAATAATTAATTAAAAAAAAAAACATGCTTCGTCATCTTCATTATCTTTGGGAGTCATCAGATATTCCATGAATGAAACTGCATACTTTTCAATAGAACTTAGCTAGCAGACAAAATAAGTAAATTAATAAATTTATTAAAAATTAAAATAAAATTAAATAAAATAAAAAAAATCAACAAACTAAATGAATGATTGGCTTGAACAAAAGTAACTAAAAATTGTACTACTTTGTTATTAAGTTGCTCAAGTTCCACATCAAGCGATGAAGCTTCATCTAGTTTTGTTTCCACCACTGCACAACTACTGTTTGGTGCGTCATTGAACTTGACATCTTCCCAAGGTAGATTTTCATCAAATTCTGCCAATTCTTCTTTTTGTTCAGCCTTGGCACATTCAGCTGCTTGAATATCTGTTTCATCCTCAGCAGCACATAATGCCTAAAAAAAAGTTAAATTAACAACATTTAAATCATCTAATTATTCTACGCTTCACAATTATTACCCACATAGAGAGAGTACAGAAGAAAAAACTGCATTGACCAAAATTAAAATTATTAAAATTAAGAAAATAAGAAAAATTGGAAATCCAACAAACATAAAAATAGTCAATGAAAGTTGAAAAAAATTCTAGAAAGTGGAGCAAATTTCATTAAAAAAGAAAGAAAAAGATTCCCGAGAAAAAGTATCGTACAACTAAATCCAATATTTTTATAATCAATCAATCAATCAATCTTCGTTTTGCGTCCAGAAATCCGGTTTCCGGAGGTAGGACGTTGTTTTCTTTGTCATCAACTTTTTGTGCCAAATTAGACGATCAGTTGTATCCATTTCATTTAAATTTAAAGCTCTATCTGCAAACATATGCAAGAGAAGTTATGGCACTGTTTGCACTTCGTTTGACATGACCAAACCACCGCAGACGGTGTTGCCGGCATTCGTCCTTTATATCATCTAAACCAGCACGACGCAGGATTTCGGTAGATTTGATGTGGTCCTTCAGACTAATTCGTTGCATCCATCATAGCATTTTCATGTCGGTTGGTTGAAGTTGTTGTTCCAATTTGGTTGTCATTGGCCATGTTTCTGCATCATATAACAACACCGGACGTATCACAGATTTATAAAGTCTTGATCGTAGTGGTAGTGGGATATCACGCCGCATCAATATAGAGGCAAGGAGATGCCATTTATTCCAGGCTGCACGTATGCGTGCTCGAACGGCAGCTTCAGCTGTTCCAGTACAATCCAAAACATCCCCTAGATATTGAAACGATGTGACTTTCTCTACCTTAATGGCTTCAAAAACAGTGCTATTTCGAATATGTTGTTGTGGATTGATGCAAGCAGGGTAGCTGTAGATTGGATGGGTTCACCAGTGTTCATTGCTTTTGTTTTGCTGATGTTGACTTTGAATCCATGATCGGCGAGTCTGGTGTTCCAATCTTCAAACATCTGTGCTGCATTCTGCTCAGACGTGGCTGTTAAAACGATAACATCAGCATATACTAGATTCCAAATGTCACCAGTGCGTATCGGTTTTGCTGATTTCTTTTATCACAGTTATAAATAACAGTGGACTGAGAATCGAGCCTTGGTGAACTCCAACGCCGATGTCAAATGCATCTGTGTTTCCAACCGTTGTGCTGACGAGAGTCTTAGTATTCGTATACATTTCCATCACAAGTCGAACAAGATATTCTGGAATGTGTTGTCGACGTAGACTCCACCTGATTGCTTCACGGGGAACTCGATCAAATGCTTTTTCAAGGTCTACAAAATGTGTGATAGTTGTCGATGCTTTGCGAAGTACTTCTCTTGCAGTTGCCGAAAGATGTGAATTGCATCAATTGTTGATTTTCCCGCTAGAAAACCAAATTGATAATTTCAGATTGTGATGCACGACGTTAATCTTCTTTTAATGATTTTTTCGACAATTTTCAGGGAGTGTTCTAACAGACGTATACCCCGATATGATGAACAGTTCAATGGATCAATTTTGCCTTTGTATAGCGGGACTGTCATGCTATAGTTCCATTCAGTCGGCATTGAGCAATTTCTCCAGATTTCATGGCAAAGTTGTAGTAACGCTTGAATACCTGCAGTACCAGATGCTTTGATAATGTCATTTGTGAGTCCAGAGGGCCTTGCTGCCTTTCCATCCTTCATAGCTTTCAGAGCTTCTGTAAGCTCCTCTACAGTGATGTCTGGAATCGGACCTTCGATGGATGGAGCGTCAAAGTTAACATTGATGGGATTTATTTCGTTTAACAGACGGTTGAAGTATTCTCTCCACTGTAGCTTGATCTCATCTTGTTCAAGAACCATCTCATTTTTGTCGTTTTTGATACATGAGGCACCAACTATGTCTTTTTTCATACGCTTTGCTTGTTTTGCTATACGATACAGAGATTTCATTTGTTCACCTTTGCTTTTAGTGAGCCACTCTCTGCACTGATCTGTCCGAGCCACTGCAACTTGACGTCTTGCATAGTTGTTCTTCTCACGGTAAATTTTATGGTCATCAACAGACTTTGATTTTTGCCATTGCTTGTATGCAACTTTCTTTTCAGCTATTGCATTTTGTACACTGTCATTCCACCACCAAGTGTCACGTTCATGCTGACGTTTTGTACCAGTTTTCCCACAAACTGTAGTTGCAGCGTTCATTAAAACGGTTTTGTATGTACTCCAATCTGTACTGGCTTGCGATTGGTGGTCTAACTGTGTGGCGACAATCTGTTGAAATTTTTCTCGATGAATATTGCTTTTCAGCTTCCACTTTTGATTCTCCGAGGCATTTGTTTAGACTTATGTTTTGACAGTTCGACAACCAGGTCTGCCACAAGGATTCTATGTTGGGCGACACATGATTCGCCAGGTATAACTTTGACGTTTTTGAATAGCCTTCGGTGTTGTTGCTTGACAGCAAAGAAATCAATTTGCGTGACTGATGGTCCACTTTTGTATGTTATGAGATGTTCCAACCTCTTTCTAAAATATGTGTTCAGTAAACAAAATCCGTGACTTTCAGCAAATTCAAGGATGCGGTTGCCATCATCATTTCGTTTTCGATTGCCAAAACCGCCATGTACGTTGTCAAAACCATCTGTTTTCTCTCCAACGTTGCCATTGAGATCGCCTCCAATCAGGATTGTTTCAGATTTTGGTATTGTTGAGATGGTGTCAGAGAATGCAGTCCAGAAGTCATTTTTCATCTCTTCTGATTCTCCTGTCTGTGGTGCGTATGCAGAAAAAATAATCATTGTTTGCTTTTCTATGCGAAGCTTGATCCACATGAGACGTGAATTAATCCTTTTAATATCCAGTACTTCTTGGGCTAGCGGTTCTCTGACAAAAATTCAAACACCATTTTTGGCCGTCTTTTGACCATTCCAGAATAGTTTATATTTTTCTTTGTCTGAGTTGACATGACAGACACCATTCGATTTCCATCGGGTTTCCTGAAGGCAGCAGATGTCAATCCTTGTACGCTCGAACATTTCTGCGATTTCCGTGCTGCGGCCAGTCAGTGATCCAAACACGCACACAAAACACACACACAAATATTTTTATAATGAAAAATAGTACTGAATTTATTTTTATTCATTTATTTATTTACAGAGATATTTTATTAAATAAATTGAAAATGCCTCTTTATCAGTGAAAATTCATAAAATTGTTGGATGTTGAAGATTTATCAAAGTAGATGAAGACAATCGTTGGAAAGAATAATAAAAAAAATTTTGCATGAGTTTCTTATCAAAACTAACCCATAAAAGCAAAATAATTTACAAAATCAGAAGTATGAAGCTATCAAAGTGACGAATTGAATTACGAAGAAAATTATGAAACAAGAACATGTGATGATAGAAAACTCAATTTAGTAAAAGAAACATAGGATATCTTTACTAAGTTAGCAGGTTAAATTTAAAATGGACAGAAAAAAATGTGTGATAGATGTCAGTGAAAGAAACAGTAAACAAAAACATGAAGACAACTAGGTGATATGAGGGAATCATAAGCATAAGATAAAAATTTTTCCGACTTTTTGAAATAAAAATCACTACTAAATAAGATACTTTAAAAAATATCAGTCGATGTAATTGTTTTCATTAGTAAAATTATTTACTCATTAAAAAAAGTTTATATCATGTAAAACGTTTTAAAGAAATGCATACTTGTTCTATCTGTTCTTGAGTCAGTTCACTGTTCATTTGGTCAAAATGATTTTTGTCTTTCTGAAAAATAACCTCAGTTACTGATTGCACAGATGCTAGCGATGTATTTTCTAAACCTGAAGGTTCCTCAAACAAATCCTTTATCGTTTGCTGGAAATTTAAACATCAAAATTATTTCATCAGGTATTTTTGATAAACGGACCAAAACATGAGATGAAATATTACCTACCGCTATGAAATGTATTTCAAATTTCAATTTATTAAAAAAAAACTAGAACATTTTGTTAAATATTATGAACCACTCTAACACCCAATTTTACTATTTATTGTCTTACATTGACCTCCGTAAATGCGCCAAACTTTAGTTATATTTGGCATATATATATATATATATATATATATATATATATATATATATATATCATATTTTGGTCTCTTTTCACTATAAATATATATATATATATATATATATATACACACATACATATACATATAAAAAGTAACTTTGTTGACATTTCTGGACATGAGTTTAGCGTTTTATATTGTGAATCATAAAATCCTGTTGGACAGACTGAAAAATTGTTATGGTTTAAATAAGATTGCGTTAATGTGATTAAAATCATTTCTTACTGGTCGGGCTCAGCAGATTTCTTACTCAGGCGGTCTCTCGGAACCAAATAAACTTACGTCAGAGATGCCTCAAAGATTTGTTCTTGGGCCGATTCTCTTTAATTTGTACGTTGTAGAGATATTAGATTTACCTATAAAGGTGGTTATTACTGCCATGGGTACGCAAATGACGTGCAGATTATGTTTTATGTTTTCCAGATGAGATGCCTACCGTAATAGAGAAACTGACAAAAACTATATCTGATGTCGACTCGTGGCGGGGTCAAAGTAGACTAGAGTTGAATCAGACAAAGACTCAGTTCATGTTGAGCCTTCATCGATTAATATCAGTATGACTGATATAAGTTTCAGTGAAACGGTCACCAATTTGGGAATTGTGATGGATTTCCGTTTGACAATGGGTCTTTAAAAGTTTGAATGGTCTAGCTACGAAATATTTATAAGATAAATGTATTAGAGTTTCATCCATGTCATCACATGGGGGTCTAAGGTCTGCTGATTCAAACACGCTTTATGTTAGAAAACGGAATCTGAAAACAGCAGATAGAGATTTTGCAGTTGCTGGGCCTGTTTTTTTAAAACAGCCTACCTATCGAATTACGTATATCTGGGTTATCATTATCTGAGTTTAGAAAACATCTAAAGACATATCTATTTGGTAACTTTTAGTGATCTCCCCCGATGATGGCTTTGCTTTCAACATGCTTTATACAAGGAGAGTGCTGATGAGAAGCAATTATAATTGGCGCTTTTTGATTTGATTTGATATATTTCAGCATTCGGTTGATTGTCACCATCCGAATGTTTGATCACTTCCGCAAAAAACAAGAGTTTACTGAAAACAAAATTGTTCAGTACAATGCATGGGAAGGAAACAAAACTGCCAGCAAATCTAAATATCTCAAACTGAATAAACGTCGAACAACAATAGTGCCAACTTATTATACCTTATATCACGAATAGAATATTTACGTCACATTGCATATAGATCAACTATGCAATTTACATTAATTTAATAAAGTAATAGCGTTAATTATTTGGTTAAACTTTGATTTATTCTTGTATTTTTAGAATTTATTTCGAAAAATTAACTAATATAAATTAAATTTAATATTTAATAAAATCTACCAAAGTTACAGCTTTTGATTTTAGCTTTTAATTCACGAGAAAGATGCAACATACTATGCTGTATTTTTCTTATATATATATATTAAATATATAATATTTAATAAAAGACTATAATTAATGCTGTAATTATGGAAATTTATATATATATATATATATAATCTACCAAAGTTTTAGCTTTTGTTTTTAGCTTCTAATTCATGAAAAAGATGCAACATTCTATGCTGTAATTTTCTTTTATCAGTATATCAATCAATCTTCGTTTAGAGTACAGATACCCAGTTCACCGAGGTAGACGTTCTTTTACCAGTATATAGATAATGTAAATTAAAAGACTATAATTAATGCAGTAATTTATGAAATTATATATATATGTATATATATAAATTTGTTAAAATTAAATAAAATCTACCAAAGTTTTATTTAATAAAATCTACCAGTTTTAGCTTATGTTCTTAGCTTCAAATTCACGAGAAAGATGCATTTTTCTTTTACCAGTATATATATAATATAAATTAAAAGACTATAATTAATGCTGTAATTTATAAAATTTATGTATAAATATATTTTGGTTCAGACTGTCGTATATACAATTATTAAGAAATATCACCGCATTTTGTGATATGCGGTGATATTTCTATATATATATATAATTTTCATGATGAACTTGAATAATAATTCTATTTTCAATAAATTGAACAATTTCCAGATAATTCTAGTAAGGAAAATTGAAAGATATACTTTAAATTGATTTATGCCAACAATTCGGTAGAATTCCTACAATGCAGTTTAAAATACGGTATATTCTATATATAATAACACCATTAAAGTTACACATAAAAGTGTTTATACAAACGCACACACAATTTTCGGGCAATTACTTTGATGTCATAGTATTTTAAATTTATCTATATGTATGAGTGATTTTGAGTGTCAATGATGTAAGAGTGTGCGCGTATGTGTGGTCATGTGTGAGTGTGTAAATGTGCATGACGAGGTCTGCATGTGTGTGAGTGAGCATGAATAAATGTGTTTGTGCATGATGAATCTGTTGGTTTGAATGTGTGTGTGAGTGGGTTTGATTAGTTAAATAATATATTTAGTTATTTTTACTGCACTTCTTCCTCTACTTAGCGTTTTGTTTTTGGTAGGGTAATGATATTTATATTTACCTACTGATGATTTTATTGGTGAATGTATATCAGTTTATTTATATTGAATTATTGATGTTGCTATTTAATCTGCATAGTTCATGAGTAATTGTATGAGTACGTTTAATTTTGAAAGTGTAGGTAGATCCGTGTATATCTGTGCGCTTGAGTGTTTTCCCATGTGTGTGTATGTATAAAGCTTAAATTTCTATATATAAATATGTATTTATGTGTGAATATATATGTGCGAAAATACATTTTGTTTTATTGCTCATTTGGTAAACTTTGATAGATATTTTTTAGTTTTTCTTTCTGTTATAAGTCAGTATTTGAGTTTAACAATTATTTTTTTCATTTTATGTATTATATTTTTGTTAAAGCACTGCTACAAGTAAATGTTTACCTTTTTGCGCTTGTGAATAATAAAAAATAATAAAATAATCAATCTTCGTTTTGCGTCCAGAGACCCGGTTCCCCGATGTAGGACGTATATATATATATATATATATATATATATATATATATATAATAATAATAATAATAATTAATAATATTTGATAAAATCTACCGAATTTTTAGCTTTTAAAAGTTTACGATTGATCTTTTCAATACTTCTAACAGTAACTTTGTAATTATTATACAATTTATTAAAATTAATTAGAAAATCGTTGGTGTTATTTTGCAGCTATAATCTCCTTTGTTTAGTAGTACATACGTTACAAAGGTTTACGTCTGAACAGAAAAAGCGAATGCTGCAAAAAATACCTGAAAAGTAAGAAAGTAAAATCGCATCGTTTGCAAACCGTTTGTACACATTAACCGGACACAGAAGACAAAAACAAAAAAATACAAAGAATCTCCAACCTCCCAATCAATAACGGTTATAAAAGTTCATCAATAGAAAAAGTAATTTTGAAAGCAATTTAACAAAGAACGGAATGACTTTTGCGCAAAAATAACTAACCAAGAAGCAGTGCTTAAGCATCACACAAATAACGAGAAAAAAAGTGGAAATGAACTTAATTCATATTAAAAACAAAACCTGTCTAAAAAACGCGGTGGTAAAATTTCCTCCTTCGATTGCAACATTGCCCAGAAGCCTTTTTTCATTTGCTTTCTTTAAAATATTTTCTTCTATTGTTCTTTCACACACCAGCCTAGAATTGATTTTACCAGAAACATAAATTGCATATCATGATTAAACTAAATTTCAAATCCAATTAAACCTACAATGACAGAGAATTTATTAATCGTGTCCGGCAAATTTCTTTAATGAAATTCTGACGGCAACGCGATTTTTACGTTCGTTATTTTGTGATTTTAAGTGTAAATTAATTATTTCTTTTACTGTAAACCTTAGTAATTAAGGATTGTAAATTGTGAATGTAAACTAACTTTAATTTTTAAACGTTAATATTAATTATTATCAATTAATACTATCATAACTTTGCCAGTCGTCTTGAAGTTACGTAAATTTATTGAACTTCCATGTTTTCGACTAAAAATTATTGGTTTCTTACAGGAAGTTTACAAATTTAAGTTGAAGATTATTATGAATTTATTATTATTACTTATTATTAATATTATTTTCGGGTTTTTGTTATTTTTTTGTTTCGGAATCGAAAACACTGCATTTTACCAGACAGACTCCAGTTGGAATTTTCTACGGTTTAGAAAAGAAATATAAGACATTTTACTTTGATCTACAACTTAATTGCTTGAGTAGAGCCAAAAAATATTTGAAAAAAATAACAAGAATAGAACTAAAGATTTGTGAACAACGTCGCCAAGAAAATATGATATATCCATCATGTCTCGATAACAAATTTAAAGACAAAAAAAAAATCTAGGTAAACTTTAAACATGATAAAAGAGAGGAAAAACTCAATACCGAAGGGCAAAGCTCGTTTTGAAGATTAAGCAGATGCTTTAAACAATGTACTTCAAAACAAAAAAACATTAATAATTGAACTGGCGCAGAAGATTAAAATAGTAGATTAACAACTGTCAGAGCTAAATAAATTAAACAACAAGGTAGATAAAATAAACACTAAAATCCTTAAAATCACCCAAAAACTTTCAGACTTTTTAAGGGTAGTATGATTAAATTAAATTTGGGTTCAAAAACCAATAAGAGTGGTGTGATTTTTTAATTCTACCTGTTCTTCAAATTTAGTGTAAAATACTCAACAAAATAAAAGAAACTCTATTGGTTGCTAACCTTGAAGAAAACAATATGAATTCAAAGGCAGTAGAAGATAAGGAAGTAGTAATCGACTCACTGAAAACGATTTGTCCACTGATGTGGTATTTGCACTTAGTACTTGAACTGGAGTACCAATTTCAAAGACTTGTACGTGACACCTAAGTACTTCTATAAGCTGTTATATGCCGAAGAGCAACGAGAAATTTAAGAAAATAATTTTTTATGACTTAATAAAGGAGGTCAGAGAGAAGTGCAAAAATATTCCACTAGAAAAAAAAGAAAGTCGTTGAAGTAGATGACATCAAAAATTAACTTCAACATGTTGCAAGAATTTCAAATCAATTGTAGCGAATCATATAAAGAATTACTTCTTTAGAAATAACTTGTAGGACCTGCCTGTAGTCTGTAGGCAGTACGATTTTTTCAATCACCTTCAACAACACTACAACTACCAAGGTTTTGCTGATAAAATGATGCAGTTGAAAAAGGAGATGAGTTTGACCGATCTAGGAAATGTGTTTGACAAAATTTCTCACAGTAGATTATTATTTAAATTGGAAAAATACAAACTGAATATGAAGTTAATAATGGAAAAATATAAGAAATGCCTAGAGACCGTCAATGGCGGCGTTGTTTGAATTCTGTTGCATTGATTAGTGTAATGAACTGTTTCTGATTATAATTATTTATTTATTTTTGAATAAATTTTATTGTTCATAGTTATAAAAATGCTTCAATTTTTAACTTTTTCATATCTGACAAATAGGTCCAAATTTTTCAATTTTATAAAATATGCTTTAATTTTTAACATTTTCTTTTTTATATATAACTAAACTAAAAATAACTTTTAAATTTTAACTTCATTTGTACACATTTTAGTATCTTTGGTTAGATTTGTTAAATTTTTTCCGCTTTAAAACGATTTGATTTTTGTCAATTTTTAATAATAAAAAAAGTCTTTTTAAAATTAAGAAATAAAATAATTATATAAACTAAATTATTTAAATATACAAGTGTAGATGCTATTTTATCCAGCTGTGAGTGTGGTCGACAACAGTACTGTATTTTGTAATGTCTGCAAGTCAACTATTTTTATTGCTCACGGTGGTAGATCTGATATTACATATTATATTGCAACGAAAAAATATAAGATCGCCTTTAGTGAACGTGTGAGCTGTTCATCATTAACAAAATATTATACAGTAAAAGAACCGGGGAAAGAATATAATTTAGCAGTTTCTTGAAATTAAAAAATAAATAAATGAGTAAGTAAAAATGTAAGTAAAAAAAATTAATAAAATAGATAAATAACCGTTATAACAAAAATATTATTAAAATATAAACGTCCAGCAATTTTAGGACAGCAAATTCCAAAACCGCTTGCAGTTAAATGGTCAATTTGAAAACATTTCCAGCCAAAAAATTTGAAAAATGCAAACCTATATATATGGACATCTCTGGTCTGGCCGATCCTGTGGCATCTATCCTGTGCTTGTGCATCCATGGTGGGGTTCCAATCACTATCATAGAAGATGACAGTGTCAGCTCCCGTCAAATTTACTCCTATGCCTCCTGATCGTGTTGAAAGAATGAAACAGAAAATCTTCGAGTCCATATTGAACCTTTCCATGAGGGCCTGCCTTTGTTCAACCTTAAGTAATAAACAACTCTCTTTATATCATCCTCAAGTAATAAACAGTTCTTTTATTACCAAAAAATAATGCAATTTTAAATTTTCGGCGCAACTTCAAATTTAGTTTCCGTAAAAATACAAAACTAACAAATTATATTAAATATAAAGACTATGTAGATATATCGTCGTTTGTTTATGAAACAAAGCTTATATATATGATATTGATAACGTGGATTTAATTAAATTAATTTAATTACTTTTTATATTAATTTAATTATTCTTTTATTTCATTTATTTCTGTCATTCGAAATCTTTTCTAGTGTTATTCTAGTTATTCCAGTAGTTGTGTATTAATAGCCCAGCTCTTTCCAAATCTCGACTAAATCTCGACACAACCATCTTGTTTTAGGTCCGTCTTAATCTTTTCCCCTCTAATTGATACTTCCAGACTTTTTTAGGTGTTTTGAACTCCTCCATCCTCCATCATATGTCCTTCCGACTTTATTCTTCTCTTTTTAATAACATTACTGATATTCATTTGTCCTGTTCCCTTTTCTGACTTCCTCATTTGTGACATGATCCTTGTAGCCAATTCACATCATTTTTCTGATCCACGTTCTCGTAGGCATCCAATTTTTTTTCTATGCTTCTCGTTAATTGCCCACGACTCAGCTCCATTTACCAAAACTGGAACCACCATAGCATTGTAGGTTTTTAGTTTCACTTTTAGTTCAATGTCATGTCTTTTGAAAACTTTATGTATAATTTCTGAAATACTCCTCCTGAATTACCTTCGTTTTTTTGACGTTTATATTCAAACCTAATTTTTCACTTTCCTGTTATAAAACGTCGGTTAGCTCCATTACTCTCAGAAGACATTCAACGATTAAATATGTATCATTCGCATAATCTGCATCATGCAATTTATCGGGTTATCTATGCTTTACATGATTCTCGAGCTTTTCCAGTCTTCTCAGTATGTAGCCCAGATATACTGTTGAATAAGATCGGCGATAGAATGCAACCTAGTCTGAAACCAGTTTCTATCTGGTTTCCATAACCGTACCGCAAATCGACTACTTTCGGATGTAGCCCATATTTCGTGAATATCTTCCATGCTCCTCACCGGATGAAATCATACGCTTGGGCAAAGTCTATGAAACGTAAACTTCTCCATGGAACTTTATCATTTTGTCCATCATTTGTCATAATCCAAAAATCTAATACAAAAATCCAACTAAAACATCCTCTACCTTTCCGAAATATATGTACTTGATCAGCCACTAATTTAGACTCTTCTGACATCCATGTTTTTATGTTAGGTTTTGTGAATTCCAGTTCTTTATTTGCCACCTCATTGATTGACATATAGAGCTTGTTCCACTTTTTTTTCAACGCATCCTTCCTCTTCTGTTACCATTTCCAGTACTTCAAATCGATTTTTCACCTCTAAGCAGCATCCTTCTCTCACGCTCTCTATAGTCTTCCCATATGGCAGCGTTTAACCAAATTTTGCGGACTCTTTCCACGTAACTTCACCCTTATTTCTGCCACTATTATAGTGATCAGATTCGATTTCTCCTGACTAGTAAGCTCTTGTTTTCATCACTGAAGTAAGCCACTCTTTTCTTATAATTATATAGTCAATCAAGTTTAGTAAATTACCATTTGGTGACTTCCACGTGACCTTCCTACCTGGTTTCTGGATAAACTGAGTGTTAGTGACGCAAAGCTGATTTGTCATCATCATCATTCATCAGCTGTGTGTAGCCACTGATTTCCTCATGGAATCTCTCCACCGATCTCTATCATGGGCCAGCTCTTCAAATATCAATCGAGATTTACACTTTGTAACTACATATTTGGACAGCCTTGCCCATTGTAGATCTTCGTCCAAGCAGTCGATTCATCTTCTTGGTAGTCTTTCTCTGTCTCGCCTATTGAAGTTTATACATCAAGGCTTCCCTGGTAGGTCTATTTGAATTCATTCGCAACAATTCTTACAGTTTCTGCGTTTGTTTTTTAAAAAATAATAAAAAACACATGTCCTGTCCATTTCATTTTGCGCATTCTGACCACTTCAGTTACGTATAGCTACATCTAATCTCCGCATTTGAAATGTGGTCTGGATAACTGATTTTCATGATTCTTTGCAGCCATCCGTTTTCAGCTACATTCAATTTATTCTCCATAGTAAGTGTTAAACACTTCGATCTGCACCATATAACAATAGAGATGACTTTTAAAGTTTGGCTATGGCCACATTTTTTGGTAACCGCCATGTTCTTTGTTTTTTTTTAAATTTACCAGAGAATGCGTTCAAAAAGCTGCATGAGAAAATTTTTTTAACGACATAATATTAGCCTGAAGTTGAAGATGAGAGATTTCAATAAATGTGTGTTGCCGATTTTGTTATATGGTGCTGAATCGTGGAGTTTAATACATACTATGGTGAAAAATTAATTGAATGCGACTGAAAACGGATAAACCATGAAAATCAGCCATTAAGATCACATTCTAAATGAGATTAGGCTTAAGGTTTTTGCTTTCTTCAGCCAGATATTCCACCATAATTTTTAATTAATCAAATGAGTCTGCTGTTAGTCACATATCATTCGCATATTCCAAATCCCGACAACCTGAGGGAAAAGATGTCACCCAACCATTACATATTCGTTCCACTTTTAGTAGTATATAATCGAAAACTTTGTTGAAGAGTGTCAGTGACAGAATACAACCTCATATAAAATCCGTTACGGATTTAAACCATTCAGTATCTTCACCGCTGATCTTGACGCTGATTCCATATCCTTCTAGGATCATCTATGCTCCCTCTCTCCATATGGAGTTATAGGCTAGGGCAAAGTCAACAAAACACATAATTAGTTCTTCATTATGTTCTAACTCTTTTCCATCAGCTGTCGCAGGAAAAAAATTTGATCAGAGCAACTTCATTTTTTTCTAAAAACGCATTGATTATTAACCCACTCTTCGCAACTGCCAGTACCTCAACAATTTGCACGGACTTTTTTTATGTTGGGCGACGTCTGGGCCAGTGTTCATCATAGGATAATTACTTGCCATTTCGGTTGGTTGTCGTTTTATTCTAATTGGTGACTATTCCAATCCTAGAACGCCTTTGCCTGTTTACCACGCTATTCGCAATTGTTTCTTTACAGATATGTAACTTAACTATCTTATATTTATGTATTACTTGATTTCTAATATTTTATATATAATATAATTCTTTCACAGATTAATAAATTAGGTTTATTAGCTAACGAACGAACTTAAATATTTTATTTACTATTTTACTACAATAATTTTTATCAACTTCTTTAGAAATTGCAGAGCTTTAGAGCGGACCTGGAGCAGGGTGTGAAGTAGTCGGAACAACATATTTTCAGCTTGAGCATAAAGTTTTTTATTGTTCCACAGCTCATACAATAAAAAATTTAAGTACCAAAAGATATTTTCACTGAGAATTCATATTTTTTTAAAATTCAATCCAAGAAATTTACCTAAAAAAACTTAAAGTCATTCGTTTTAGATGTTTTAGTTTGATCATTCTATAGTAATCGTTTTACAATTTGTGATTGCTTAACGAAGGTAAATTTGCGAAGACTGATATGCTATGATAAATTTACGTTAACGAAGATAAATTTGCAATGACTGAAAGAAATACTGTGATAATTTTTATTTACAGAGGTTCATATGAATTACTTAAAAAGTGAATTACTTTTAATATTCAGGCCATGATATCTAACTAACATTTGCAACTCTCACCCATGGTGAATTTACGAATTACTGACGAAGATGAATTTGAAAACAAACTGGATAAAAGAAACATTCGTCAAATTTTCATCAAACCAACTATCGAAAATGGTTGTGAATTGTTAATTATTTTGAAGAAGACTGCAAAGCTCTAGAAGGTAAATATCTTCGAAGCTACTATCCATTACCCAGATGGCTTCAAAAGAGCATACAGATTAGCTGCAAACTAGTCAACATCATAAGCTAATGTTGAAAAATTATTTTCTGCTCTAAAATTTATTTTATGTGATAATAGACAATTAATGGAAAAAGATTTGATGTCTGCTATTGATGTACAAAACGTCCTACCTCGGGAAACCGGGTCTCTGGACGCAAAACGAAGATTGATTGATTGATATTGATGTACAAAATTTATCGTGTCCTGTTAAGAAAACTTTGAAAAGTGTATTAACGTTCTGGGTTTTTCGCTTATTTTATCTCCTTTTTGATTAATCCAGAAAAAAACTGAATACATCTTTTGCATGTTTTTGTTATAAATTGAAAAAACTCAGTTTTAGAAAATTTGTTTAAAAATAAAAGCAAACTCCCGCCTTTCGGTAAAAAAACTTTTTTTAATAATTTTTTATCTGAGTTCGGAGCACAAAGCGGAGCTGGGAGCATGTGTCACAAAGTCGGAGCGAAGCCGGAGTGAAGCAACTTAAAAAATAGCTTGCTCCAAAGGCCTGAAAAATCGTCGAACTAGCACAATATTTTATTGAGAGAAAAAATTTAGAACCTTGGTAGTTCCATCAAGCCTGAGATAGCGATGTCCATGGAAATTGAGAAATTGTTCAAGAACATCTAACATCTTGGTCATTTGAGTAAATATTAGTACACGATGTCCTCCTTGTTTCAACTTACGTAACAATCTATCTAGAGACTGCAATTTACCTGAAGATTGTTATAAAAAACAAAATTAGTCACTATCACAATTATTATGACAAAGTACAAAATAAGGATATAAATATCATCGTTACAATCTTGCATAAAGGTAAGGTTTACAAAAATAAAAAGTAACGTTTTCATCCGCAAACTCTAGGCTAAATATGCAAATATCCTGAACTACGTTATTTTTGATCCGATTGATACGCAATTTATGAATTGACAAGAGGATGTAAACTCGTTTAAGCTCACTGCTAGTTGTACAAAACATAGGGACACTTATAACTTTAAACAAATGGCCATAAATTTTGACCATGATTATTTTAATTCTAGATCAACTCAACGATTTTCATCTTTCATCTCGTGATAATTAACTTTATTTTTGATTAACTTTTTGACCAAAACAAGTACAAGCATTTATGCATTTTCAGCCGAATTTGAACATAAAACGCACTCCCGCGCACACACCCACACCCAAACACACATGTGTGTACATAAAATAAGAAAATAAATAACTTTTTACATTCAAGAAAAATAATCTGATACCAAATATAAACATACCGCTATCATATTGAATAAGTCTTAAATCCGGAAACTGCACAGTCTGTTTGATGACAATCTGATGAACAATGTAAGAATATTGCTTCAAACAGTTTACTAAGACAGACATAGACAGAGTGGACAACGATGGTGAATAGGAATTTTGAGATGAAGAAACGAGTGGTATGCTTTGCATATTAGAAAGAAATTGGTAATGATCTGTGTGGAAGGGAAACATAACAACTTTTGGACTTGTCACGGCTGGTATCACAAAAACAAACCTAAATACAAAGACATGGAAATCAACGAATTACAACCTAAATTTGTTTAAATTAATTAGCCATAAAGTAATGAAAAAAATTAACCTTAACAATATATCAGTCAGACTAGTCAATCTGTCTTCAAAATTTTCTAATATGCCTTCAAAATGCTGGAAAGAATGAGTACCCAAGAAAAAACCTCTCCTTGCCCCAAACAAATTACATTCTTGGTTATTGTAATTCAAGTACGAAATACCTCCGACTTGGTTAGCATTGAGTTGATGCAACACTTTTGAACTCGTAACTGGTTCTTTTTGCTCTTCAAAGCAACAAACACACTTCAGCAAATTACGAACATCGCATCCATACATGACTTGATGGCTACATTTCATTTTGTTCCATGAAAATAAATTTTCTAATTTGCTTTTTTGTCTGACAATACTTTTCATCTTTAATTGAATCTGCAAAGATTTGATTATGATAACAAATAAACAAATATCCAAAACGTATAAAGACTGTCAAGTTCAAGATAAGTTCCAATAAAAAAAGCTTATCTATTCTAAGAATATAATATTAATATTAAATTTATTACAAAACGTTGAATGTTTTTAAAATTTAATCAACAAATTATTGATCAGTCAATTATTCAATTCAAGAAATATTTTTTTTAGTCTTTATTATTGCAGCTCTGACATACGCAGAACCACTTACAATGCTACAGATATATTATCTGTATATCTTTTATTATGTTCTTCATATCTTATATCTTCAGCCATTGATATGAGGCAGCCATTTTCGCCAAAAAGGCTGTTTATCCTTTTCACACGACGTACACATATATTTATGTGCACGCGCAAGCACCGCATCATATACGCTGAGTATTTTGGTAAATAGATTTATCAATCTTATATTTTGCGGCGTATGCCCTACAATTATCAGATGGTACTTTTTGGAGGACGATTTGTTGCCTAAGCCTAAAACGAGGCAGAGTTCGCCCAATAGCTGTAGAGAATGTTTGGAAACGACTAGCGAGCAAATGTGCTCTGAATAATGTTAGTGTTAAAGTTAAGGTTATGCTTCACCAAATCCAGTTGGGCATCGGCGTTAAAGGAGGTGCTGAAGCTGCCATCTCATGTATTTTTTTGTATTTTTATGTTTTCAAGTTGTAAAAATTTGGCGATACGGTCAGAAAGATTTTAACCATTATTTGCAATGTTGTCATTACGTATTCTTGATAGTTAAAATTTCAGCTTCTAGTGCGCCACGGTGGCTTTGGCCTGTCCAGTGTGGTTATATTTGCACTAATGTTTATCAATTTTCTATGGCAGCCAAACAAATAAGAATTGCAAGCAATTTTACTCCAGCGGTTCTATTTCGTGTCAGGTTGCGCATGGGCCTTCCTCCATTATCAAGCTCATTAATTTCAACCATCAAAAGTATTTTTAAAAATCTTCTGGTCGGAGTCACAAGACAAGGCCCGATTATTGACGGTCACGAGTGAAGAGAGCTATGGATGGCTGTGCTAGTGGCCAAGCGCTTTCCTGAGCCCAAGGAATGATGAAGAAACAGTCCGCAAAGCAGTTCCCACTTGTCTGGGTCTAAGGATGCAAAAAACGTGTTATATACAAATGCAAGTGTGATGCATCAGCAGACAAAAACGGTCAATAAGGATTGAGAAGTGCATCCAGATGGGGAGGGTTTGTTGCAACTGTTTGTTGGATCGACTGATTTGAAGGTCCAATCGGCTCCACCGCGAGAAGGCAGTTGCTCCAGAGCCTTAGATATATCTCCAGAGATATATCTGTCGCCTCTGATATGTTGATCGTCAACATGGAATGGTCCACGATGACCTCACTCTCATCAGATCATCTACCCATTCACATCAGCTTACAAACAACAATTCAACATATTAACCCCCCAAAAGATCAGATTCATAAATTTCGCGAAAGCTAACTGGGATGGTTTCACCAAAAAATCCGAAGCCGGATTTTCCAATCAAGTCTTCCCTCCCAACCTATCAGCGGCCGAAAAATCGTTTCGTCGTATTCTACAAGACGCAATTGACAACAACATACCTTCCGGTAGACGAATTTCATATGCTCCAGGTCTATCGAAAGAAATCACCGACCTAATGAAAAGACGAGATGACATCAGAGCTACAGATCCAACATCTAAGGACATAGCAACCACATCAACAATAATTCAACACAAAATCAACAAATTAAAACAATCGCGTTGGAAGGAGTTCCTGGGCACTTTCAACAGGATAACCAACACCAAGCGCCTCTGGAGCACCATAAAAGCTCTTAGCGGCAAACCAACTCAATACCCCAACATCGCTATTAATTTCAACAACAGGTCACTAACCAACAACCTGCAAATAGCCAACTCATTCAATAAAATTTTTTACATCAGCTACGAAACATTCATCAAACAAACTAAATAGAATCACCAACAAAGCCGTTAAGAAATTTCCGCTTGACGACTATCCTACACTAACCCCCAATCAGGTTACAGAAGCTATTAAAACTTCTAAATCGTCCAAGGCAACAGGACCAGACAATCTGACAATATTTCACCTAAAACACCTTGGCCCAAAGGGAATTTCCTTCCTAACAAATATTTTTAACGAATCACTTCGAACCTGTAGGATTCCTGAAATTTACAAGAAATCAAAAATCATTCCCCTACTAAAACCCGGCAAACCAGTTAACGACGCTAAATCATACCGTCCCATATCTCTTCTATGTCCGGCAGCTAAAGTATTTGAAAAATGCATTCTGCCAATCATCTCGAATCACCTAACCTTAGCGAGCCATCAGCATGGTTTTCGCCCACTTCATTCTACAACAACAGCTCTCACCACGATGGTCACCGACATCGCAAAAAGCCTAAATCAGAAGAGGCCAGCTCACCGAACAATCTTAACAGCATTGGACCTCACAAAGGCCTTCGATACCGTTAATCATCGCATCCTAATCTCCGACCTCATGTCATCATCGCTTCCACGGTCAATTGTCCGCTGGTTGTCAAACTATCTGCATGGACGCTCTGCATCAACAGAATTCCGATGACAATTTTTAAAACAACGCACCATCCGTTCAGGAGTGCCTCAAGGTTCTGTATTGTCACCAACTCTGTTTAAGTACTACGTCTCCAAAATACCAAGCCCTCCTCCAGACGTCAAGGTTATCTCTTATGCAGACGATTTTTCAATCTACACTACAGGTCCGAATGCAGATGATTTGACACTTCGGCTCAATTGCTACCTTCCGAAGCTTTACGACTTCTTCAATAGCAGAAACTTGGAGATTTCCACCTCTAAGTCCACAGTCACCCTTTTCACCACTCACACTTCACAGTATCACTATCATCCAGCAATAAAAATAAATAACAATTTACTACCACTCGAACATAATCCAAAAATATTAGGCCTCACCTCACGTTAGACACGATGCTGTCCTTTTCACAACACCATAAAGAAACAGTATCCAAGGCCTCAATAAGGAATAATATTTTAAAGGCACTAAGTGGTACAACCTATGGCCAGGACAAGAAAACTCTTTTACAGACCTACAAAACCATCGGTCGTTCAACAATCGAGTATGCCTGTCCTGCCTGGGCATCACTGACATCAGACTCAAGATTCTCACGTCTTCAACGCTCCCAGAATGCCGCCCTACGTATGATTACAGGTTGTCATGTGATCGCTTCAGAACGGCACCTTCATTCAGAATGTCAGATGTTAACAGTAAGGCAGCATTCGGAGCTAATAGCATCATAATTCCTACTCCTACGCCATAACCCGTGCCATCATATCATCACGCAACAACACCCGCACCGCAACATAAAGACCACCCTACTCTCCAAATGGGCTTCAACAACCCATGCGGTTCTACCAACAACCATAAATAGCGATTCTCTGAAGTCCGCTCTAAAAACACTTCACAATAACACCATCAAAGCCGCCACAGAGACGTATCAGTCGCCGTTGTTGTTGCTTGACGGATAGCCTCCACCTACACTAAAAATAGATCCAACAGTAGAATCACTTCCCAGGGCAATCAGACGGACCCTAGCCCAACTCCGTTCTGGCCATAGTATTCTTCTAAACAGCTACAAAAACAGAATCGACAGTGAGCACCTCAAAATCTGTCCTTTCTGCAACAATCATACAGATGATGTACCGCATCTGTTTAGCTGTCCACAAAACTACAACCAATAGACCTCTGGAGAAACCCAATTGCAGTGGCGGTTTGGCTCCAGCCTCGATTGGAACCCTAAGGGTCTCCCAGAATGGGGCAACAACAGCAACAACATTGACAAGTGCAGACTTGGAGAGTCTATCACTCAGTGATCAATGATTTTCATTGTCGAATATTCTCTAAGACATCCCATTGCAAAGGAACCATCTGGCACTGCCTATCGCTACCGACCGTATATTGATCATACACACACACATACACAAACACACATACAGTGATAATTAGCATATTGCTGTTAAAGTCGACTAGTATATTAACTACAATAGAACAGATGACATTAATGCTGTGATTATTGCGAAAATGATCTGCTATTGCATCATCTTGTAAATGCATGGTGAGGCGACGCGACAAACTGGTATATGGCGAGTTTAACAAGCACTATGCGGCTTCGTTTAAATTTAAATTGGTACATATTTATCGGCTGCAAAGAGCTTAGTTTGGAACTGTCTTTTAGGATAGGCTGTCATGTTTTGTTGATGTTATAGTACGTGATGAGCTAAGTTGTGTTGCAAACGATTATTTTAAGTTAGGATTCATTTACTTTGCATTTGTTGTGCATCTGAGTTTTATAATACAGAGGAATGACTGAAGACAGTGTGTTGTTATTGATGTGTATTTGTAAAAATGTAACTTTACTTACAAGATATTCTTCTTTAGAAAGTTGTGACCCTTCCAGAGCACTGCATTTTATGTTTTCTTGCAACTATTAATTAATTAATTAAACATTTAATAAATTAACTAATTATATATTTAATTAATTAATTATACAATAAACCGAATTTGAAAGAATTTAAACTAAAAATTCTTTGACATCAAGATTTTTTGAAAAAAATTCAATAGCCAAATACAAACTGTGAGAAATTTTTCTTGGCTGAATCCATTAATAAATTCATTGAAACGAGTGTGAAATTTTGATACATAGTGACATTCATAGTTGAGCATTTGAACATCAAGTGAGGCCAAACCTGGGAAGAACTCCTTTGGGACATGATTCTACAAAATTTAATGTTATTCATGACAAGATTAAAATAAATGAGAAAATAATTCAACAAAATTTGCCGAAATTTTGTTATATATGTAAATCCGTTAGAGGTTAAACTTTAAATTCAGATTGAAAAAATTGATGCAATGTGTACCTGGTGCAATATTCACATAGATTAATGCAAGTTAATTGTGCTGATAGAAAAAAAACACAAAAAACCAGTAATAAGCTTCTGCTTGTAGACTAAAAAGTTGCAAGCTTTAGATAAACTAAAATATTTAATTGAAGGTCAACATTTAACTAAAAAAAAATTTAGGCGAATAAACTTAGTTTGATTAAAACAATATATGTGGTTACCAACAAAAATGATTAACTAAATATTTTTACGCATTTTCAACTGCAGCCGATTCGCACATTTGTTTAACTACCAAAATTCTTCATGACAACAACAAACAATACTAGACATACGGCTTCTTTGGACATCGAATGTCTTTTTATAAATATACCTGTTCAAAGAACTATCGATATTATGCTAACAACAAGTGTGTCGCCATCATACTCTTCCTTAACTGGATAATCCTTCAAATCTGTTCATTGAATACCTAAAACTCTTCTATCATGTTTGCAGAATTTTATATGTCTAAGATAAAATGCTAAATTTTTGTCAATTCCATAAATCTATGCATGCTTAGACAAAAAAAAATTAGAAAAAGTTGTTGAAGTTTAATTATTTTTTTTAGTTTAGTTTATCTAACTTTTGAATTCGGAGATTAACCTTTAGTTGATTTTTTAGTTTTTACTTTAAACTTAGTTTTAGTATAAATTAAAAACCTAGTTCATCCCTGGAGAATGCTGACAAATAAAATAAAATAATCATCAAAATACGACAAAAAAAAACAATTTTAAAATCTTTTAAGGTGAGTTTAAAAAAATGTTTGTAAAATAATAAAAATGAAACCAACTATAAAAGACGTGGAAAAGATTAGCCTTGGTACAAAATAAACCAGTCCTTCCATGTGATACGGTGATACAATAGGTCGAGGATCAAACAAGTTTGGATGGTTGCAAACCTTTCTTAATTGCATCAGTATGTTGATAACACTCATGAAGTGTCCACTAGCTAAAGTTTCTTTGGTTCTGGCGCACAACAGTTTTTAACAATCCATTTCATAGAGAAATAACGGTTTTAATATTAAATATCTTTTCAAATTCGTTAAAAGTGTAAATGTGACAAATAAATTAATTATCATAAAATTTCATTCCATATGAAGTTAATAAATAATAATCATATGAATTTAAGTTTTTAAAAAAGTGATAAACAAAAATTTTAAACAAGAGAATGAATTTTTATAGGGCTTAAACTAAAGTGCTAGCACATTAAAATTTCCTAATGACACACTTGGTTTGAGACATGAAATCGTCATAGAGATATCTCTGATGTTTGGCGAGTCTGCAAATAATAACATGTTCATATTTCTTTGGCATTTGCTTTTCTACGTCTTGTTTTAACCTTCGCAAAAGGAAAGGTCGCAACACCTGTTGTAAAAAATTTACATACAACTTCTAAAAAACATCAAACTTCTAAACTTCAAAACCCTACAGTAATACTGTTTTTAAAGGTTTAATTATACATGATGCAAGTTATTATTAATCTAAAGGCACTTATTTGCCCGTTTTGGTGCTTTATAAACTGATTATTAATAAGTTAACTACAAACATGGCTGATTAAGCAGATCTGAGAGCAGAGTCCGATTGCAAACAGTGTCGAAGATCTGCTTACATCAACGCTCCCAAGGTCATTGGTTCGATATTATCTGCATGGCCGTTCCGCCATAACAAAATTGAGACAACAGTACTCCAAACAACGCATCATACGCACCGGAGTATCAGTTTTGTTCCCTTCGCTGTTCAACTTATGTCTCCAAAGTCCCTGTTACTCAGCTAAACATAAAAATAATCTCATATGCCGACGAATTCACCATCTACACTAAAGGACCGATAGCAAATGTTTTGATTCAGAGCCTTAATGACCACCTGCCGTAGCTATACAACTTCTTCAGCCATCACAGTTTGGAATTATCTATCACTGAATCAACAATTATTTCACACACATCTTAATATCACCTTCATTTTCAAGTTAAAATCAACAACCAACTTCTTCCACTCGAACATAGTCTGAAATTTTGGACCTCACATTACACACGATGCTGTCACTCTTGCAACATCATAAATTGCCAGCATTTAAAGCCACAAAACACAACAAATCCTCAAAGCGCTCAGTGGAACCACCTTTGGCCAGGACAAAGAAACCCTGCTGCAAACTTACAAGGCCATTGGCCGTTCGATAATAGAATATGCCAGCCGTTTGGTTTCCACTGACATCCGATTGCTTCTTTAACAGATTACAACGAACCCAGAATGCTGCCATCCGGGTGATAACCGGTTGCCACAACATAGCATCGGAACAACATCTACTCCCAGAATGCAAGATGCTTTCCGTAAGATGATGTTTCCCATCTATTCAACTGTTCCAGCAGCCGACATGTTTTACAACAATGGATCTCTGGCATAACCCGATCGCAGTAGCGAACTTGCTCCAACTGCGCCTGAATCTTCAGACAGAGGTCTGAAGCAGAACAACCACGGATGGAATTTGGTGAAACGCTACGATCATTTTAGAGTTTGTTCACAAGGACATAAAAAAAACTTTAAAGTCAATTAAAGCCATCAGGTCAATAGTAAATTAAATTATTACTCTAATTTCAAACAAAATTTTTGGGGCATGAGCAGAATAAAGTTTGTAACAAATTTTAATAATAAACAACAACAACAACACACGTTTAGACGACATTTTCCCCGAGATCGGGGGTTGCCGTTTGGCTACCTATGATGAAACCGAAATACCCCTCGACGCCATCCACATCTGTCACTCGCCTCAGTATCACGCAACCCCGCTTTCACCCTGTTCTTCTCCACCTGCTCTCTCCATCCCAATCGCGGACGACCCCTTCCTCGACCTTCAACCTCGAACTCCAACGCTCGCCTAATCCCGACCCTTTCATCTCTTCTCAACACATGTCCATACCACCGCAATCTCGATCTCCTTATCAATGTCACACTGTCCTCATTCAGTCCCATCATCGGCATCAGCTCTGTACTACTCCTCCTATCCTTCACTTTAACCCCATACATCATCCTCACCATAGCTCTTTCAGCCCTCTGCAGTACACTTTCTTCCTCTCTCCTCAACATCCAAGTTTCACCACCATATACCATCGCTGCTCTCACACATGCTTTATATACCCTCCCTTTCATCTTCACTGACCATTTCTTTCCACACAATACCCCACCCAGTTCCCTAAATTTCATCCATCCCACACGAACTCTAGCCGTAACTGCGCTCAAACATCCTCTATCCGCGTTCAGCTTATCCCCTAAGTAAACAAAGCTTTCCACTCTTTCAATACCACCACTTAACCCCGTCCTTGCGTCCGTCCTATTAATCACACCATGAACACATTTCTTACATTTGAACGTGCCTTCCACCTTTTTCAGTGCCCCCCTCACACCACTACATCTCTTATGCACCCATTTCTGACATCCTATACACAATACCGAGTTAGCCTTCACTCTCCTGTCACATACCCCACAGGGGTCTATTTTACTTATCACTCGCTCCCCACCTTCCCCACTCACCATTACCTTCGTCTTACCAATATTAACTTTTAACCCTTTCTTTTCAATAACACTTTTCCATCTGTCAAATTTTAACTGCAATTCTTCCATGCTATCAGCCATCAAGACTAAATCATCTGCATACAAAATTTCAAATAACAACCCCTCCATTATGTTTCCACACACAACATCCATCACAATTGCAAACAGAAACGGTGATAACACTGATCTTTGATGCACTCCTACCTTAACACTAAAAGCGTCCGACATCCCCCTTCCAACCCTCACCTTTGTCTTTGCCCCTTCATACGGCTGCATCACAGCTTTAACAAGTCTCTCATTCTTCCTCAACGCCCATTCAATGACCTTCCTCGGTACTCGATCAAAAGCCTTTTCTAGATCCACAAAACATATGTACAATCTTCGTTTCTTCTTTCTATAATTCTCCTGCAACATTCTCACCATGACCAACGCATCCACCGTTCCCCTACCAGGCATAAACCCACACTGCATTTCATTAACTGTCACCATATTTCTCAACCTCCTCTCATGCACCCTCTCCACTACCTTCATTCCGTGCTCTAGCAATTTCACACCCCTATATGACCCACAATCTCTCATATCTCCTTTGGCTTTATACAACGGCACCAACACACTGTGTCGCCAATCCTCAGGTATACCTTTATCATCAAACATACTGTTAGCAATTCTCATAATAATTTCAATTCCTATCACCCCACTCGTTTTTATATGTTCTGCCGCCACTTCCGAAACCCCTGTCGCCTTACCTAGTTTCATTTCTCTAACTGCTTTCTCTACTTTCTCCATCATCACCTTCTCTATAGGTCCGTGTGTGACCGCGGATTCCACATCTCCATCCCACTCATTCTCTTCATTCATCAACCTTTCCATATGAGCTTTCCACATCACTCACAAGGCAGTGAGGGTCAGTTTAATGTCATAACCAGGACTTAAATTTTAATAATAAACAAATCAATCAATTAGTCCTCTTAAATTATCCCTTTATCTTTTACGGAATCGTTGATGATAATGGCGTCTTTATTCTTGCTGATTTACACAATCAGTTTTTGCAAACCATTTACACGGGATGAATTTTGTTACTTAACTTTAGATTCATTGAAAATCTTAATATCCATTCAGCCCATTAATGATGTTTCTATTTTTTTTTATTAGACTTTCCATTAATGCTGTGAACAGTAGTGTTTATAATAATTCACTTTGTCGGCTTCCATATCCTTCTTTGACCCAATTTCCCAGTTCCGCACCAATTCTTACATTTTTAAATCTTCATAAAGTCTCTCTATAACTTAGACCAGTTTTTCTGATACTCATACCTTTTAAAGTTGCCCACAATCCATCATGTCAAACTGAGTCAAACGCTTTTTTAAACCTATGATGGTTTGTCCACTACCTTTGGAATTTTACATCAATGATCTTAATATCCGAATTTGTCGAATTGTACTTTTATCTTTTCTGAAATCGGCTTGCCCTTCACTCAATTGTTCTCTACATTTTTCCCAAACTTAAACATGTAAAAAGTTAATGCTGTTAATCGGTAATTACTACAATTTTACTGTCCCCTGTATTTAACAATTCAGATGAGATCTTGTTTTTAACGCTTTTTTTATTTCTTTTTAGTTATTTCATTTTTACTTTCTCTTTTTCATTAGCCATATTCATTTATAAAAGTGTTTTTATCATTTTTTCTAACCATAAATAGTTCTTTCATATGGTCTGTCCACCAATCTTAAATTTTTCTGGTTTCTCTAAGGACATTTCTTTCTTTAATTTTAGTAATCTTTAACGTGTTTCTTTGTTCGTTTTTCTTTCAGGTGTTTTACTAAATGACCAGCATCTTTTTTTATTTTCACAACATCGCTTCTGAGTATAGCACCAAATTATTTAGATTTAGAACCGTTAACCGTAAATAAAATCGAAGGAAAAAAGGAAAAAAATTTAAAAAATCAAATGATATAAAGTAAATTTATTAAATAAAAAATGAGTTAAATCAAACTTTATAAAGTTGTATAAAGTGATTATGAAACTGTTTAAAACACAAAGCATAAATGTATTGATCTCAAAACACGAGAAATTTACTAACAAATCAATCAGCATAACTTTAACTTGATAAATATTAAAAGGTTGAATGAAACATAGGCTAAAAATAAAATATTTTATAAAAAATTGATCTGGAGAAACCTTATGAAGCCTTCTGATGAGATTATCATTGTATTCTTTGCTTCCTTCAATCATTCCCGTCAGAGGGTTAGAGAACCATTCTTTGAATTCAGAATGAGACTGAAAAACGTGAGGCATGAGAAAGTGCATGAGAGACCAAAGTTCCATCAAATTATTTTGTAATGGCGTTCCGGTCAACAACAACCTTCGTTGACTGTGGAAGTTTAAAAGTGTCTGCCAGCGTTGTGATTTAAAGTTCTTTATATTGTGAGCCTGAAAATTATTTCATATAAATTAACTGAATTATTTTGAAATGATTTACTGACTTAGAAACGAGGATAACTAAATTAACCGATTGACTAAATGAATGGAAAATATTCTGAAACAAAAATAGTAAAAGGCTATGGGTGCTATATTTGCTATATTTAGAACCTTAACTAGCATTGACTATTTCATTACTAAGTCCTTAAAACCGATTATAATCAATATGTTCATCATATCACATATCAATAGTAAATGGTTGAGTGTTTCTTGGCAACCAAAAAATTTACGCGATTATCATAAGATAAGTTTAATTATTTTGTGGACCTAGTTACCTTCATCAACGTCTTCCCTCAACCTGAACAACTTCAAGTTCAGCGTTTTTTGAACATTATTGACGTTCATCGTCTATAGCTTGCTCACTTCTTTCAACCTCAGATCTGACCACATCTAAAAAGGACATCTTGTTCTTCAGAATTGACATTTCGTCGCATAGTTTCAACTCTAAACTACCAATTTTTAAAGTTTAGTATCAACTTCGTCAATGATGTCATAACAGCGTCAATCTGCTGATTAATGCCTCTGATCAAATCATTCAATTTATTACCAAGCTGTTGGATTCAATTTTTTGATGACATTTTTTTCAACAGGTGATGAACCAACAGATATAATACAAAAAAGCTTAACTTTGTTGAATGATTTAATTGATGCCATTGTTTCTTTGGACATGCTCAGCTTGAAGGACACCCCACAGCAAACGCATAGCACATTAATTCCTTCTTTATTACAACTAGAGCCTAGCTTGCGTTTTTTGTGATTTTACCTGCTATTGTTGTTATACATAGTTTAAAGTTTACGCAAAAATTTTTCAATGTCTGTTTAGCAAACAAAACAGGTAAATACACTATGACTTTAATAACAAGTCTTGTGACTATACATTCCTATAAACTATATAAAAGCTTCAATAATAACAGCAAAATCGAAAAAAACACTCAAATGAATATTAACTCCTTGAAAAGCTGAAAATACAACTCATTTTACGTGGCATGAACTGCATAACAAAAAAAAACCCATATTGAAATATTCAAAAAATACAACAAAACATATTTTAACTCTAAGAAAATTAGGATAGGATAAAAAAAATAAACAGTAAAAATTTAAAAATCATCATCACAATATGAAATAGGCAATGGTGAGTAATAATCGTATATATCTACGCGTGTTTATATGTATACTCATATATTGTAATGTGTCGTAGACTTGCAGAGTGACTCAGAATTTTTAGAGGCACTAATTGTGCTTCGTTTTATTGAAAAAATGACGTTTGAAGCGGCTTCTGGACACTTAACGATTGATGTTAGTATTAATTTTAAATCTAGTGTCAATGTCTTGGCTGCTGCAACCAAAAATATCCTTGCAACAAATGAGATGTCTTAAACGGAGGTTAATTCTTCATGAAGTCAGAAATGCTATGCTTACATCAAAATGGGCAAACAGGACTACATTATGTTAATCGACTGATTCACAGATATTTGATTATACTTAAAATAACGCAGTTTCTGTCGAACGATGAAGGCGAAATCTCGATTGTAACTTATAAAAGTGCGTTTTTATTCAAACATCTGAGAAGCTGACTAGCAACAAGCCATGCATTTGTTTTTGATATGGAGGCAAGGTTAGAAATCGCCCTAAACTGGTTTCAACGTTCGGTGATAAGAAATAATAAAAATGTCGACTTTCTTAAAGAGCTAAAAACGTAAAGTTTTTTGTTTTCAATAATTTATTTTAAAGCAGTGAGCTTATTCACAATACTGTTTACATTCTTGACCAATATTCATAATTTTTGAACAAAAATGTTGGTCAATAAGTAAATTCCACAATTTATTTCTTCACATTTAGGATTCTAAATTTGTCAGTTTTGGCACCTCTGGATGGAAGTGCAGCTTTCTACTGTGTTAATCATGATATTTTGAGTCAAACTTTAAAAAATCTTTTTGGCGTTAAAGGTACTCGAGTAGGTGACATCATTGTTCCTTGAATGAACTAAAAATATTATGGGATGGGCTGTTATCATTTACATTCAACATTCTTAAAAGTTGAGGGCATTCTTAAAAGTTGAGGGCTAAAGTTTTCTTTTGACGAGTAACTTCGGAGGGTGTATACTTCACAATAATGTTAAATGTAAATTTCCAAAAGTCCTAATAACTATTGATTAATGTTTTTTTACAGTCAATGTAGAGACTAAATGAAACAGATTCTCATAAACACGTAATGCTTTAAGACTCAATCTGACATTATCAATTTTTATCACATATATTTTTCGAAATTATAATTTTAAAATTATATTATTTTTCTATATTTTTATCTGAGCAGATTCGATTCAACAGAATCTTCTCTGTGCCTTTGTAAGTTTACCCGCCACTTTAGATGGACATGTAGGTGATCAAAACGTTTTCTCTTTTAAAAATTCTAGAAGTATATTTATTTCGGTGTCCATGGAGGGCTACGGGTCTCAAAACGAAGATGGTATACGGATTCTGGAATTTGCTGAAAGCCATGAGCACTTGAACACTTATTTCAAGAAGGGGGCAGAACATTTGATCACATATAAAAGCGGGATGTCATGCACAGAATTTGATTTTATTGTCACCAGACAACAACAGAGGCGACACGACTATTCAGGAATACAAAAGCTATTCCAGGCGAAGCATGCATCTCTCTACATCGACTGCTGGTGGCCGATATGATTATGGAACGATCACGCTCTGTGATTAATCGAATGCCTAACTAGAATAAAGACATGGAAACTGAAGAACCCCATGTTCAGGGAAAAATTCGAGGAGTTGGTATCGGCACAGCTGGATCGTCTGGAGAAGGTAGACATAACCTTGAAATCTTTTCAGGACACCCTAGTGAACGCTGCGATAGCTGTATGTGGAAAATCTGGACCAAAACGCCAGCATAACCGCGAAACTTGGTGGTGGAACGAGACGGTGCAAAATGCTATTGCCAGTAGGAAAGCAGCTTTCAAACAATGGCAGAAGACGAAGACTGATAAAGATCGAAAGACATACTGATCAAAAAACACAGAAGCGAAATGCCAGGTTGCGATAGCTCGTGCAAATCAATGCAAGGTATGGCTGTCTGGAAGTAAAAGCGAACAAATTCGGTCACTCTACCGAATAGCAAATCAGGCCAAAAGACTGAAAAAGGATATAGTTGATGCTACATGCATAAAGAACAATAAAGCCAGAACATAATAGCCTTGCAGAACGAAGTGAAGGATCACTGGAAGGATTACTTCGATCAGTTATTGAATGAAACAAGCCCTATTGAGATGGACCTTAATGCACTTCCGGTGGAAGGACCTATTTAGGGCATCACAGCTGAGTTGGAAGCAACTCGATCAAATGCCTACGATGTCAGTAGTGGTGTCACAGACAATGCTCGAGAATTACCGGCTCACTGAGGAAAGTGACTAATTTCGTGTGACCCACCTGCATCAACCCGCGACAACGGAGCCCAGATAATGATACGATTACCGGAATCGAAACTGTTACTTCATTTCAGTATTTGGTAGGGATGCACCGGATTCAGGTTTTTCAAATCCGGCCGGGGCCGGAGTCGGGGCCGGATTTTAGTTACCATTTTACATACGTTAGAAAAAATACTCACATTTACGGTTATCTACGTGTTGAACATCAAAAAATAACACCAAGCAAATAGTTAATTAATTCAAATATATGAATAAGCTGTGTGATACGCCAAATTCTGTACACAAAGATCAGCTTAATTTATGCATAACCCATGTTATAGCATAAAGAAAATTGTCCAGCTCATCTCACAATTAGTGATGTTAATATTATGTGTCATGTATGCACGTGCACAAGTTATTTTACACAAAGATCAGCTTATAATGTATGCATAATCCATGTTATAGCACAAAGAAAATTGTCCAGCTCACCACACAATTAGTGATGTTGTTGTTATGTGTCATGTATGCCTAGCCTAACCTTTAACATACCATATTCTTAAATAATGCGATTATGTATATATATATATATATATATATATATATATATATATATACATATATATATATAATATGTAGCTTTATGATCCGTCATATACAACTATATAGTATAAACACGCGCACAAGTTCTTTTACACAAAGATCAGCTTATAATTTATGCATAACCCATGTTATAGCACAAAGAAAATTGTCCAGCTCATTTCAAAATTTGTGATGTTGTTAGTATGTGCTTAGCTTTTAACCCATTGACATAAAATTAATTGAATTCAATGAAATTTTTTTTCTATTTATAACATTTTTAAATGCCGATAGACGCTTAAATCCGACCCTAAATCCGGCCACCAAATCCGGCCGGGGCCGGATTCGGTCGGATTTGAAAAAAAGCCGGATATTGGCCGGAACCGGGGCCGAACTTCGGTGCATCCCTAGTATTTGGGAGATATGCTGGATTGTACTGGAACAGCTGATGCCGCCGTTCGTGGACGCATTCGTGCAGCGTGGAGCAGATGGCACCTTCTTGCCTCGGTACTGATGCGGGGTGGCATTCATATACCGCTGCACTCAGAACTATACAACACAGCTATATGTTCTTTTCTGATGTATAGTGCAAAGACGTGGCCGATGACAACAAAACTAGAACAGCAGCTTCACCGAACTGACATGAAGATAATTCGTTGGATGCAGCATGTTGATCTAAGGAACCATATCCATACAACCGACATCCTGAACCGATCGGGATTGTGCACGTTGAAGGATGCATGTCGTCGTCATCGCCTACGATGATTTGGTCCTGTGAAGCGAAGCGAAAACGATACAATAAATTCCGTTACTAAGCACCAGGTGCCTGGCACCCGCCCAAGAGGTCACCCAAAAAAGTCCTGGACACAGACCACACAGAAGGACTTGAAGGCACTTAGTCTCAAGGAGACAGACGCAATGAATAGATCGGCTTGGAGACAGAAACTAATAAAAGGAATAAAAAAATCCGACCCATAACGGATGGAGACTTTAAACGAGGATTGATTGATTGATTGATTGATTGATTGATTGATTGATTGATTGATTGATTGAAGTTTATTTATGAAAATTTTCAAAGACCCTCGTTTACTAATAGATAATAACATATAATATAATATAATATAATCAAATACACTAATAATATAATATAATCAAATAGTAAAATTGTAGACATCTGGTTTAACTAGGAAAATCTTACTTCATCCAATATAAAGTATTTCCATTTTTTTCTTCGAAATGCTTGGTGGTCCTGTATTACCAATTTATAGGAAGTTATGCAGACATGAAATGCATTGGTTTTTGTCCATCCCTATGATATAATATAATCAATTCAGCATCAGACAAAATCAATAGATACAAAATTTCTTTGGTTACCTGTCTTTTGAGCTTGCGTTCTTTAAGCGAGCCGTAATAAGTTAATATTTTGAAGCCAGGACACCATTTCTTGAATTCCATCTCCCAGTTAAGCATAACAGAAGTAGGAACAACAATCAAATGGGGCCCCCATATACATTTCTCCGTGGCTAAAAAACCTGAATTAGTTTTCAAATTTACATTTTCAACAACTCTTAGATGATCTTGTTATTGAAGTATTAAAATTTTGTATAAGTTCTTATATACGTCCTACCTCGAGGAACCTGGTCTTTGGACGCAAAACGAAGATTGATTGATTGATAAGTTCTTATATAACTACAACATATTCAAACAAATGTGATATCAAGCTAATAAGTTATGAGAGTAATAATACTAAGGTATAGTGCTGGGCATGACATAAAACTGCATCCACGCTGCCTTGCGTGCTTTTGAGCAAAAGACTAGGCCCACCGCTTATAACTGGTGGTTGTCGTCAGGATGGGTGTCCGGATGTAAAAAGATTCCCCAAAATTTATTCCATGCCATCACAAAAAACATAGTCCTGGGCATGACATAAAACTGCATCCACGCTGCCTTGCGTGCTTTTGAGCAAAAGGCAAGGCTCACTGCTTATAACTGGTGGTTGTCGTCAGGATGGGTGCCCGGATGTAAAAAGTTTCCCCAAAATTTATTCCATGCCACCACAAAAAAAAACGACCCTTAGTCCCCAACGGGCCTAAAGTGTTCAAGGGGTCCTAAGAATTCCTGGGAAGTATGCAATAGCGGAGGGATGTTGTTGAAAAATTCAGGATGGCCCCTCTATGGTACTCTTGGAACGCTCAATGTCGGATCACTGACTGGCCACAGCACGGAAATCGCAGAAATGCTCGAGCGTGGAAGGATTGACATCTGCTGCCTTCAGGAGACCCGATGGAAATCGAATGGTGCCTGTCATATAAATTCAGACAAAGAAAAATATAAACTATTCTGGTCAAAAAACGGCCAAAAATGGTGTTGGAATTTTTGTCAAAGAACCGCTAACCCAAGAAGTATGGATATTAAAAGGATTAACTCAGGTCTCATGTGGATCAAGATTCACCTAGAAAAGCAAACAATGAGTATTTTTTCTGCTTACGCACCACAGACAAAAGAATCAAAAGAGATGAAAAATGACTTCTGGGCTGCATTCTCTGACACCATCTCAACAATACCAAAATCTGAAGCAATCCTGATTGGAGGCGATCTCAATGGCCACGTTGGAGAGAAAACAGATGGTTTTGATAACGTGCTTGGCGGTTTTGGCTGTGGAGAACGGAATGAAGATGGCAACCGCATCCTTGAGTTTGCTGAAAGTCACGGGTTTTGTTTACTGAACACATATTTTAAAAAGAGGTTGGAACACCTCATAACATATAAAAGTGGACCATCAGCCACGCAAAATGATTTCTTCGCTGTCAAGCAAAAGCACCGAAGGCTATTCAGAAATGTCAAAGTTATATCTGGCGAATCATGTGTCGCTCAAAATAGACTCCTTGTGGCAGACCTGGTTGTCAAACTGTCAAAACATAAATCTAAACAAATGCCTCGGAAAACCAAAACGTGGAAGCTGAAAAGTAATATCCATCGAGAAAAATTTCAACAAATTGTCGCAACACAGTTAGACTACCAGTCGCAATTCAGTACAGATTGGAATACATACAAAACCGTTTTGATAAACGTTGCAACTACAGTTTGAGGGAAAACTGGTACAAAACGCCAGCATGAACGAGACACGTTGTGGTGGCAGCGTACAAAATGAAATAGCTGAAAAGAAAGCTGCATACAAGCAATGCAATGCGGCGTGACATCCCACTACCACCACGATCAAGACTTTATAAATCTGTGATACGTCCGGTGTTGTTATATGGTGCAGAAACATAGCCAATGACAACCAAACTGGAACAACAACTTCAACGAACCGATATGAAAATGCTCCGATAAATGCAACAAATTAGTCTGAAGGACCACATCAAATCTATCAAAATCCTGCGTCGTGCTGGTTTAGATGAAATAAAGGACGAATGCCGGCAACACCGTCTGAGGTGGTTTGGTCATGTCAAACGAAGTGGAAACAGTGCCATAACTTTTCTTGCAGATGTTGAAGTACCTGGCACACGTCCCAAAAATCGTCCAAAGAAGTCCTAGTCGCAAACAATCGAGCAAGACAAAAAAGCTCTAAATTTAAATGAAATGGATACAACTGATCGCCTAATTTAGCGCAAAAAATTTATGGCAAAGAAAACAACGTCCTACCTCAGGAGAACTGGGTCTCTGGACGCTAAAAGATGATTGATTGATTGATTGATTGATTGATTGATTGATTGATTGATTGATTGATTGATTGATTGATTGATTGATTGATTGATTGATTGATTGATTGATAGTAATAATACCAAAGTACAAGTCTGAATGCATAAATACCAAGGAACATGAATTCATGCCTTAACCAATAACAACCATGGTAATTTGGTCAAAATCTGCACCAAGCTCCTATGAAATTTTGGTATGTATATGGTTGATGAATACATGGTTTAGACAACATCCAAGAAGACTGTACCCATGGATATCATCAGATGGCAAAACAAAGAATCAGAAAGATTACTTTGCTATACAACAGAGATAGAAAATATTGCAAAAATCACTTGTCAACAGATTCGTTTGAAGTTGAAAAACAAGCGTCAAAAACTTATATAAAAGTACGCCTATAACACAAAGAGTATTCGTGTCAAAAAGTAGCCCTAGTGAGAGTAAAGTTATAGTAATTAATATTTTGATAAGAATTATCGATATCGACGTCATTGTCAGAACCAAAGACGAGAAACTTTTGGTACTTGTCAATTTCCAGCCAGTGCTCAAAAAATTGCATTTTTTTTCATTTTTGAAAAATGTAAAAAAAAATTTGGAAAGTATAGACATTTTCAAACTAATCTAAAACATTAAACGCTTCAATTGCGAATAATTACTCAACGGATCTCATACATACATAAACGTACACAAACGAATATAATATATATATTATTGTTCGATAAGCAAGTAAAAGAGCTGGTAAATAAATTGTTACAAAACAGCAAAATTTTTCCTGGCATCGTAAACATTTTCCATGATAGACATTTCAATAAAACTTCATGACATTTCATTACTGGAAAATAGTAACTTTATATTCCTAAAATTTTAATGACTTTCTAAAATGCATATACACCACTGTTAAAATCAGTAAACAAAAGAAATGCCACAAATAATCTCACTCAATAATGCAATAGTCTGGATTGTTTTGCCAAGTCCCATCTCATCAGCTAATATGCCATTCAGTTTTTGCTCATACATGGTGGCTAACCAGTCCAATCCAACATGTTGATATTCTCTTAAATTATGCTTTAGCAGGAATGATACTGGCGTTTTAACCTTTTTAGGAAATATTTTATATTGTTTATTAGGTTAAAATATTCAAAAAACATAAATAAAATTTGTCAGCAACTTTTAATAAATATAATAACCAGATGTTGTATTCAAATAATACTACATTATAAAATTCAGTGTGGCCATCCAAAAGTTAAAACTCACATGTGCAGTTTCTAAAGTGTAGCCTGTAGGTTGCAAACTCAGAGCCTGTGCAGTAATGCTCGATATGTTTTCCTCCAAACTTTTAGAACAATTTGTGTCAGCGTCATTCGCATTATTCTCATTGACTTGCTCAATTTGTATATCTCCATCTTCTGGTTGTTTGCCTTTAATATCACCTCTTTTCAACTTTTCTGTTTTGTCATCAAGACCGTCATCAAACCTGTCTGTGAAAATAATAGTATTCCGTTTGGAAACAACTCCTAATCTAATTATCCATAACGTATAGTAGTTTTATAAATAAATTTAAATAAATTATCAGAGAAAAAATTAATAAATTCATATTTTAAATCAGCTCACTTTTGTCAGTCTCTTCATCTCTGTAATACATTTTGTATAACTCTTCTATAGGTAAGTTGCCTGGAAAACAAAATTTTTATATAAACATGACAGGCAAACAAATCATAAAGATTTATTAGAGTTGTCAATTTAAATATTATAATTTTAGAAAGAATATAAATAATTTATTCAGAAATGAGAAAAATAATAACATTAGATGGTTTTTAGTTAAATGTCTTTTTGTGAAAAAAATAGGTGTAATAAAAAGTTTTTCATCTTTAAACTGTTGTTTTCTGTTTTTAACAATAAATTTTGATAAAATCATGTTTTCATAAAAACAATAATCTGGAAATAAAATTTTATCAAGATTATACCTTCTTTTTCAAGACATAATAGCTCATCATCGTAGTTGATGTTTTTTTCTATCTTTTCTTGCTCTAAAATGGTTTCATCGTCGTCCTCATCATCTTCACTGGAAGGTGAATAACTTTCAGCATCTGAGTCGATGGTAGCCTGATGATGGAATAAAGTGTAATGAGGTTAATGATAACAATAAAGTTGAGTAATCATGAGGTTGGTTCCTGCCTGATCAAATCCGCTCACAAAGACCAGTCTCTAGCATCTATAGTTTGCAAAACAATGAATGGCATAATTGGAGACACACTATGAAACCATCCAAACAAGCAAAAATTAATTATCTCAGAGAAAAGCATGGTTTTGCAAATCAAAAAAATTGCCGTACTAATTTGTTAGAAATATTTGATTTAATAACAAAAGCAAGGGAACATAAGATAGCTATAAATATAACATTTCTTGATTTTCTGACGCTTTAGATTTTGTCCCACATTAACAATTATGTATACATTAAAAAGCCTTGGTGTTAAAGATAAACTATTAAACAATAGAAAATAGGGTGATAATGAGAGACTAGTGTCATACTGTGTAGATGTTCTAAGTGGAGTTCCTCAAGGATTAGTGCTTGTAGCATTACCATTTGATATCATACATCAATGGCCTTAGATTGAATTTCAAGAGTAATTGAGTTAATTAGTTGAGTTATCTGAGATGGGATGTGATGGGGGTAAAGGGGGCTGTGGCTGACTACCCAAATGCGAGCAGTATGACAATGATGGTACGATGGTGTTTCTTCGCATCTTTCATCATATGAGATAACATTGCGTGTGCTTTGTCAGGTCAACAACCTTAGAGTAAAATCTTTTTTGAATATTCTTTGTTTATTATATTATTAATTTCTAGAAAGCAAAACATCCTGTTATTGATTAAAATTGTTTAAAGTAGTGCCTCATCCTTTCAGGACATTGGCGACCATCGATCTCCACAAAACCAGATCTTTAAGACTTTGTAGCAGTTGAAATGTGGTGATATTCAACAAGTGACACAAGAACTTCACGAATGTTATTCGTTGTTGACCACGATCTCTTTTCCCTGTAACCTTTCCAGTAGTTGTTAGATTTTCCATTCCTAACTTCCAAATGATGTGACTAAAAAACTTTACCTGCCCTCGTCGGATTATTTGTAGTAATTTCTTCTTTATTATAACCGAACTGTGTTTATACATATTCATTGAAGGTATGGGGTCCAACTATCTTTCATATTTCTTCTAAAAAACCGCGTCTCAGCAGAATTAATCCTTTTTACCATTTCTTTAGAAATTGTCCAGAGCTCAGAATGCCGTATGTGAGCACAGGGAAAATGTAACACTCCAACAGTATTAATTTTGTTGATATTCTAGTTTTACTGTTGGTTAGGATGTTTTAAATTTTAGAATATTCATCTTTCGCCATAGCTATCTTTCGTTTGATATCCACATTAAATTTACAACCTGAGGTAATCAGACTTTCGAGATAATTGAAGCTGTTGACTTGTTTCACCTGTTTACCATTAATGATTATGGAGCAGATCGGAGCGATTGATAACTCTGTTTTGTTGAAGTTAATTTGCAATACTTTTCTTTCACTTTCAAAAACCAGTTTAGAAACAATTGATTGCAGTTTTTCCATTGAATCCGCTATAAAAGCTGTATTATCAGCATATTTTACATTGTTAATATTCACGCCTCCAGTGGATATTCCGATATTCCAGGTAGATCTTCTATCTTTCTCATGATAATTTCACTATAGAGATTGTACAAATCTGGAAAGAATAATACACAGCCTTTCCTAACACCTTTCTTTATTTCGACAAAACTAGCCATCTTGTTACCAACTTTCATCACTGCTCTTTACTTCCAGCAGAGGTTTTTGATGACTCCCATATCTTTACCATTAATGTCCAAACTTTCTAATATTTCCATATGCTCCACGTGTTTCATGCTATCAAAAACTTTGGAGTAATCGACAAAACATATAAACAAGTCTTTCTTCATTTCAATCGCTCGTTCACTGATCATTTGTAGCACAAAGATGACGTTTCTTACGCCACAATCTTCAATAAAACCACATTGGACATATATGAAATTTCAGATCTGATTTTGCTCCGTGCTCTCATTATTAGAATTCTCAAGAGAAGTTTTGTAAGATTGTTGATTGTTCAATGTAGTTCAAATTTGGTTGCATTACGTTTTTTAGGCAATGCAATAAATATTGACTTGGATAGATCTTCAGGAATTTCGCCGCTGTATATATATATATAAATATATTGAATTTTTGGAAAATAGAATTATCCAATATATTGTAAGGAAACCATATTTTATACAATAATGTATGAATTTTTCCGAATTGTTGGCATTAATTGTTCAATTTGTTAAAAATAAAATTATCCAAGTTCATTATGAAAATTTAATGGAACTGTTGTTATCTGAATTCAACATGCAGATAAGGCCTATTTCGATTTTAAAAATTACCTAATTTGAGAATTATATTTGTGAACAGATAATAACCATACGGTGATTGTAATACTACGAAATTTTAAAACCCTCCCAACAAATACCTGATTATAATTGTTAATAAAAAATCAACACTGATATTCAACTTACAATTCAAATTAATTATTGCAGATAACATGCAGCTAACATGGCACAAATCAAAAGTCTATATATAAATTTTAGTTGACAGTTAAATTTTAATATTTTGGATTAAAAGCAACATGCCATGATTTCAATCAGACCATTAAGTTGTTGATGTAAATTTGCATTATAAATAAACTAACAGTGTGAAGCAATTTTTCAGTTGAAAATTCATTTGAGGATTTCTCTTCAATCTCCCTGGAATCTGTTTCATTTAACCGGTCAACACTACCTGTCAATGCATTTTTTAATGGCATCAAGTTCAACTGGATTGTGACAAAATGAAATTCACTTAAATATTAAAGAATAAAATGCTCGTTTAAAGTTCAACGTTAGAGCATAACTTTTTATGAAGTTATGGTTGCAACTTGGAAAGCAAATTAAAAATAAATGATTTCATTCAAACTAGAAACCTTTTCTACTGAGCTCTTCAGTAGAAGATTGCAACCTCACATCAGATTCTTGTGAAACCTGAGAGCTGTTAAGCAGGCCTTCCGACAACCAAGTGGAATATTTTTCAGTTTGGTCGACTATAAATTTTAAATGCTGATCTAAAGCTTTTTTTCTTTTTTCATCAACACGACTTTGCTGTTTGTATATCACAACCTAAACAAAATCAAACAAGCCATCAATAAATGAATTTTAGCTGATCATTCAAAAATATATTAACATAAACTATTGAAATCAAAAAAATACATAAACAATTAATTGTAAAATTGAATAACTTTAATGTAATGCAAAGCCAAAAGTAATAATTATAGTTTAAAAAAATATAATTATATAGCAAAATATCCGTTTTTTGAATGTTTGCATTAGTATATTACTTTATCCAGAAAAAAAATTATGTAGTGAAAAAAAACGATTTAAACTATAATTAGCTACACACTTTTTCAATATTGCTCCAAAATTCCTTAACACTTTTACTAATATTGGAAGCAATCTTCTTTAACTTCTGTGTATCTTCTTTCTCTGCCCTCATATCTTTCTGTTGGATGTCTTGGAAGAACTTCGTCACAAGCCGTGATACCTTCATAAAGAATAAGTAACTATGATTACGATATAATTTTTATTATTTTCATTTTTCAAATGCTCTAATGCCAAATTGACTGCTTGCAATTCTGCTGTATAAATTGATTGATGGGTTATGTGGTAGATGTTGCCTGATGAGATGGTTACTGATAACCGCAGTCGCTATTGTATATGGTGGTATAATTATTTTGCTGGTGGAGGAATTAGTGAGGGATGGGCAACGGCAATGAGGACGTTGTAGATAATGGTATAACAGCGGGTCAAAAAAAAGTTGAAAGTTGGTTGAATTGCGATCCGCCAAAGTCAAGCGCAAGCACCTTGCGTGCCAGACAAAAACTGTGCCCTTGCTAGATAAATTCCGAATGGTTAAAGAAAAATATGTCATAAAATAAAAATATAGCCTCCGTCCGCTAATGAATATGTAAATTCTAGAAAAGGCTGTTTAACGCAACGGTCACCATAATGAGTGCAATGTCGGCGTCTTCAGCATTAAGAAACACGTAGAACGCAATGTTCATCCATGGCATCTTGAACAAAATTAATGCAAATGGGATTAGCACTGTATATACTGTTTTTTATGAAAATACGTATTGTATTGTATTATAGATTTGTATTGTGCTTCATTGTGCTTCATTTTGTTGAAAAAATGATGTTTCAACCAGCTTCTAAACACCTCCCGATTGATGTTAGTATCAACTTTTAGGTCAAGCGGCAATGAGTTCCAAATCTTCACTGCTGTAACAGGAAACCTTCTCGCACCAAAATGAGATGTTTTAAACGGAGGGCAAACAAGGTCTCCGTGTTTTGCCGATCTCTGTCTATTTCCTTTACGAACATACGAAACTGAGTTTAGCATCTCTTTCAAGTAGGCCGGTGCGTCTCCAGTTAGACAGTAATTTTACCATGAAAACTATTTTAATCTTCCACCGATAGCCAATGAAGTTCATTATTCATGTAATCAGAGATGCTGTCAAGAGACACAATCAATATTTCTAACATGACAGTCTTCCTAAAATGAAATTTAGTCAGTGATTAGTTGGAATTGTAATGAATAACATATGGGGTGCTGTTACAAGTATTTAGCTAATTTTTTGCGCTTCTGTAAAAGGTTTAACCAGTGAATAAACGAACAAATGAACAAGCAAACAAACGAAAAAACAAACAATGAATGAATAATAACTAAATAACTTGAATGCCAAAAAAATGCGTAACACCTTTTTAGCGGCGGATCTTTTCAACTTGCGTTCTTGAGCAAAATCATTAGCGAGCCACTGCATTTCTTCTAATACATAATCCCAATGAACTTTAGCATTTGTTGGTTCATAAGACTTTGCCATCCTTTTCATAGACCATAGACCATTCTTTCTCAATTCAGAAATTTTTTTAATCACAGCCGCTTCCTATTTTGTTTTTTAAAATAAATTAATCAATTTAATTAAATTTGACTATCTCACTTTCCAGCGTAGTAATAAGAGTGCTTTTATTTAAAAAAATCACTTCATTTAATTTTATTCTTTAAAATTCAATTTGTCAAACAAGAAAAAATGTAACAACATGCAAGAAAATATAGAAATAATAAAAAATGAAATGACACTGAAATGAGTATGAATAATTAAAAAAACAGCGTAGATAATAAAAATAATTATTCAAATAAAATAAAGATGATTGTTTGAAACAAAAAATAAATAAATGGATAACTAACATTAAAAAATAAATTAATTTACAGTAAACCCATGAACATTTGTTGTTTTATTTATTTAATAATAACAAAACAAAAATATTCAAATTTCGTAATATTTTATAAAATCCATGACCGCATAACTATGATTTGAAGCAAAGATAATTTTATTTGTTACGGCAAATATCCATACATCGGTAAATTACCGATGTCTTTAAATACCAATACATCGGGAATTTACGGATACCGATGCATCGGTACTGAATTCTCAATTAACAAACGTCGATACTGTTCGACACCGATAACGCCAATGTCTAGAAAAAATACCATAACTTTCTTAACTACCACTAATGGCGTGATTTTATAAAAATCCATTAAAATGTGTTACATTAAATTATGCCAACCTAATGTAAATGTGCATACACTGCTAAAGTTTGATACATCAGTGCAATTAATGGTAAATTAATAAATGTGGAAACATCAAAATCTCATTCACACCTGCAAATTGTTCGATGCGACATTATAGGCATTTTAAAATTTATTGATTAAATTTTTCTGTTATTTTATTTATTTGAGCACCTATAACTTGAAATAGTATTTATAAATAGGGATATTTATTTCTTTATCAATGTATTATATATGCAGTCAATATAAGTAGAGAACATTTTTGCAGTAAGATGTTAATTTTTTGAACAGCTTTTTAATAAAATATGACTTTTGCGGTCTGACTTTCAATTTTGTAATTTTCGATGATACACAGGCCTATAAATACATAAACTGTGATTTTTCAGTTATCCTCACGTTTAAAAGAGCACAGCATTACATGTTTTTTAAAACCCATTTCATTATATAGCAAACCAAAAATGTTTGTGGGACAACAAAAAAAAACTTTTGTTAATCTTTATAACTTATCTGCGATCAATGCATAAAATTCATGTTGAAGAAAAATAGTTATCATTTTTCATGTCAGTGATAAAACTAAATTTTTAAACATTAAAAATAGAGCCCGTCCATTTAAAAAATATTAAGCATACTCAATGGTTAAAGGGGCCAGGTCTTGCTATTGCAATGACTGGGTTCGAATACAAAGAGATCCCCCCCGCCTATCATATGCAATATGTATGATGCGTGATTTGCACGCGTATTCATGTACGCTGTGTGTGTTTGTCGTTGAAACCTATGAAGCAAACGCAAAAGAGAGAGAGTAACCTTTTAACCTTTATAATGTGATATAAAATAATAATTTTCAGTAAACCTGTTTTGCTAATTCAGTGAGAGATTCTTGTACAACGGATGTTTGAAAACCATCATTTGAACTGCCATAAGTTTGTCATATTTATCATAATAAATAATTTGAAACCATCTATTAAAAAACTAATATAATGAGCTGATTCACTTTATAATCACAAATTATATCAATCAATTCCTCAGAAAGGTTATCATTTTATATCTACTCCAAATGACCAGACATAATAAGCTTAAAAATGGAAGACTTAAAAGTACTATAAGAAAAAGTTTTTACACTTACAGGTAAAGAATCCCATAAACGCATCAATAATGATAAAGTAGAGTGAATAAAAAAGTTGGACCTAGGAGTTAAAAGGTAAAAGTCGGGATTTGTACGAAAACAATCACGTCTAGCATTTAAAAATGGAATAAGTTCAAGAAAAAGAGATTGACAGTAGCCTAGTTTAAAAATTTTAAAGAATGAGAGTAGTAAATGAAAAGTATACAATTGATTTATGTTAAGTAAATTCGCTAAAATGATCAAGTTTGCATATAGGAAATAAAATACGAAGAAAAAAGTTTTGAGCCAAGGTCAAAATGCGAATGTTAGATTTTGGAGCAGAACCCCAGAGATACAGTAGATGACATAGGGCAAAACAAAGGAATGATATAGTGTGAACAAAACAAATTTAAAAAACTTAAATCTCAAACGATATATAAGACCTAGATTTTTAGATAATTTTGATGAAATGTGTTTAATATGGGGTAACCAGGACAAATTAGAGGAAATAATAACGCCTAAAATTTATATGAGAAAACTCTTTTAACAGGACTATTATTTAAAACAAAAACAGGAAAAACAATATCAGTTATAATCCTAGGACCAAACAAAATGATTAATTATTATGAGTATTAATATATCTGCCAATTTATTCTGCACGTTTTCAAGCAACTTTGTTTAGCAGAACATAACTTTATAAAAGTATGTTTTCTACTTATCTCACCACATCTTCATGTGTTTATTCAATAATTTTGATATAGGAGCCTAAGCAAAACCTTTATGTTATTCTGTAGAATCACTAAAGATGTACTCAAATCAAACCATGGACATAGCTGAGCCGCTTGGACTTTAATTTAGACATCTAATTGATTCAGCAATTAAGGAATGTTTCTAAAAACTATGAACGTGAATGAAGTCCATATTTTTGTATCCTGCACTATCGTCAAATTACTCAATCTATCGTATATTAACTGATTTCTGATAGATAAACACAACTGCTTCAAACACAGACTTGTTTAAAAGTCTATTTGACTGCCAACAGTAATAGAAACTCTTAATTAACCGCTAAACACAAAAATTAGCTAGATGTCACACGATAGCCAATAATTCAAAGCTCAACTCAAAATTACAACTCTTTCGCCGCAGTCCTCCGTTGGTCAGAAATTGTGTTATTGTTGATATAACTGAGGTAGCTATTGAACAGTCAACAGTATAGTAGTCATAAATAAGTAGACAATTTCTAATTCAAATTCGAAATAGCAATGTTTTTGAAGCCATTAAGGTAGAGTAGGTCAAATCGTTTCAATATCTAGGAGATGTTCTGGATTGTACTGGAACAGCTGAAGCTGCCGTTCGAGCACGCAGCCTGGAATAAATGGCATCTCCTTGCCTCTATATTGATGTGGCGTGACATTCCACTACCACTACGATCAAAATCTGTGATACGTCCGGGGCAGAAACATGGCCAATGACAACCAAACTGAAATAACAACTTCAACGAACCGATATGAAAATGCTCCGATGGATGCAACGAATTAGTCTGAAGAACCACATCAAATCTACCGAAATCCTGCGTCGTGCTGGTTTAGATGATATAAAGAAGGAATGCCGGCAACACTGTCTGCGGGGGTTTGGTCATGTCAAACGAAGTGGAAACAGTGCCATAACTTCTTTTGCAAATGTTGAAGTACCTGGCACACGTCCCAAAGGCCGTCCAAAGAAGTCCTGGTCGCAAACAATCGAGCAAGACATGAAAGCTCTAAATTTAAATGAAATGGATACAACTGATCGCCTAATTTAGCGCAAAAAATTGATGGCAAAGACCTGCCTCGGGGAACTGGGTCTCTGGATGCTAAACGAAGATTGATTGATTGATTGAAATAAGTGGACAAAAAGATTTACAATCATAAAATAAAAGAAAGAATAAATAATAATTCCTTAATACACTATAAATATTTTCAAATTATAATCGTTTTTGCTGAATACAAGAATATAATTAGTTTAAAATATGAGCAAAACAGTAATGAAAATTTATATTTCTCTCAATATGACAAATTATATATATAATAACCTTTCATTATCATGAGTGCAGCAGGAGTCCCCTTGAGCACTACACACATTATTCTGATTTTCAAATATAAAATCTTCACATTCTCTAACACGCAGTTTTTCAATGTTGTATTTTACAAAACAATTATCTAAAAAAATTGTAATATTAATGTTTAAAAAATGTAATTGATGGCTTAACAAAAAATTTGGATTATGAGCATCTTTCAGATTGCAATAAACACACAAACAGGCACAAATTATTTTTCAATTTGTAAAATTTATAAGGATTTTTCATGCAACTACTGCAACACACACACGCACACACACACAAAAACACACAATATATGAAAACGCACACACTTACACACACGCACACACACACAAGATTTAATTGGAGGCTTATTAGACTAAACTGAGATGGTTCGGCCATGAGGACAAGAAAGCAAATAAGGACTGGGTTAAGAAATGTTGAACTATTATAACTGGCAATTTAAGGAAAAGTAGCAGACCAAAGCTCACCTGGAAAGAAGTGTTGTCAAAGGACTGAGTGTCTTCTCTAAATGACTTAGTTCGCCTTCAGACTTTGTTAATCGGTAGGACATGTTGTTGAATATTTATTGCTGGATGCCTTCGTTCAATGAGCAAAGATTCTGCAACCCTTAGATTATGTGGATTGATGTTGCAATGAATTATTTCAACGTTATTGTCAAGTATAAGTTTCTCTGTAGTAATTTTTATTGTTTTTTTTCTTTCTTTTTTATTGCTCCTGACTGAACATGCACAGTGAGTCTTTTAAATAATTTTGTTGTCATCACGGTGTATTCAGAGTTATGATGCCCACACTCATCGATTCTGCATTTGTATGAATAAACTAAGTGACTACAGTTTCTGGCTTGCTTGTGCAGTTATTTATTACTAGAAATGAAATTTTGTAGTTGGTGTAATAAATACTAAGTTTAATGGTTTCTTGATTGTTAGTTGGCTCGACATTGTTTTTTAATAAATCATTTTATAATGCTAACAACATGTGGTTCATGTAGTATGTCATAATGTTTTTGTTTTCATTGTTATTATTGTTGTTGTTATTTACTTGGTTATTTTTTCTTTGGATTCCTTTTTCAATTAATGATCTTTTATAGCCGTTACTGATTAGGAGGTTGGAGATT